ATATTCTATGTGAAGCATCCTTCAATCTATAATTGTAAAATGTGGGCGTATCTTGCATGACAGCCGCTTGTTAAAAGCTAGACTTGGACTTCAGGTATGGCATGGTGGACAGATTCTCTGAACGTTCCATGAACTTAAAACGGAACGAACTGGCTCTTTAATAATTATAATGTTTTTTTTTATTAGGGTGAAAAGTGAAGACCACGTATTTTGCCCTTAGTAAGCATATGACATACTTGCAAAGAATAAATAAAGAAAATTACGCATGGATTATTATGACATACTGCTAAGCAAGGAATTGTGCAACCTACCTATCGTTTGTTAATCGTATGAGTTTTGATTATTCAAGTCAAGCAAGCCTGAATCATTGATTAATTTTATTTAGGTCAAAAAATGGAACAGTGGTTTGACCCAATATATTTATTTCTGAGTGAGCAATAGGCGCGTGCTTCTTTGTTGATTCAATGTTGCGCAATACAGACGACGTCTGTGTATTTAAACATGTGATTAGAACACTCAGGGAAACGCCAAGTATGTGTCGTCACAAAAAAAGGACAACCAGCAAAATGTTCTGTCAAGGTTTGTGAACTCAAACAAAGTGTCTATCCGTTCTAACCCGTATCCGTACCCAAAACACCCGTAACAATACTACAGCTACATACATAATGCATAAATCAATATGATGATGTATACGGTGAGGTATTTATAACTAACTACATGTATATACGTATTTTTTTTATTAGATTTCGGGCCAACTTTAAATGAAATAATACTTTCTGTGTTCACTTTACCTGTCTGCCCGAAAAGTCAAATTGTCCGAAAGATAGGGGGACAGCTGTCCCCGCCCCCCTCCCCACTGGCTCGTACGCCTATGGGAAGTACTTAAAACCAGCTACTACTGTTGCTGTGGTCAAAGACGGAAGTTATCAGTAGAGGAGCCATTTCAAGTCGGACCTATGTTATCTGTGGAGCGGATTTTTTACATATACATGTAGTGAATTGGTAAATAAGGCATGCAAAAGTTCTTAATTGGTATGACTTATTTCTTGAATATTGCAGTTAGAATTTCTATTTTCTTCTACATCTATAATCTACTTTCAGATTCCTGTATGTTTAGTTTTGTAAATTTTTTTGACATTTTACAAATATTACGCGACATACATCTAACTGTTACTCGGTATAACCGTTTAATATTGCAATATTAAGATTTTCGAAATATGTTTTTACAAATATATCTACAACCCCATTTTCCTTGATCATAACATACTAACACCACAACAGTCTGGATTTATTATACAACGATTCCACAATTTACCATATTCTTCATCTAGATGACCAAACCTGTACATAGAGGGAGACCACCATTAAATTTCACCACTGTAGTTCGTCTATTCATCGCAATTCTCTGTCTTTTTTCTTCCCTTTTGCATGCGCATTTTTGTTGATATTTTGGTCTAGAATGGACGAAGAGGGTTTGAATTAACATTTTGTGCCAGGTTTTAGTAAATATTCATGTTTTTGAGGCGGAAGGATAACAGAGTTATCAGGTTGGTTACGGTGATATATACGACAACAAGTTACATGTTTTTTTAGTATGCTTCTTCAAGTTTGTGTATCTCAAAATTTTGGTGGTCAACCTCATACAAATTTTAGTGCAAAGACATGACCATGGGGAAAAGTTGGAGGTGGGCATAGAGACCATAATTAACATTAAGTCAATGGGGAAATTAATGGTGGTCTGTATCCACATATGTAAAACCTGGTTACCTCCCTTTACAAGTGTCCAGACAAGAAATAGTTTCGTTTGAGGAACCCCATATAAAATAATTAACAATCTTGCTATATAATGTTGAAACGCGCTGGGTCGTTAATCAGGAGGTTCCAGTGTCAGTGGAGCAGGGCGGAAAGGCTGACAATGAACGATCTATAGTCGTTGGGGCGAATAAACGATATCAAATCTGCCGAAAACGTTTAAAGAAACATCAATCAACTGGATGATATTAACTGTGTTAAAGTATCTAAGTCCCTAACTCAATATCATATCATCCAAAGTCTTCGACATTTAAAACACGAATTATTTGTCAGTTTAAATGAACATTGATGTTGTGATCTTACCGAGAAAAGATGGGCTTCTGATATCCAATATTTAAGACAAAATAAACATTTTACTATTCGTAGGAGTACACAAATCGTTTACCATAATGCGTTTTAGCGCCATGTGTAACAAGCCACTGGAAGAATGAGGCTAGATATATTCCACAAGTCATGTCAAACGGTGACGTCATATTCTTATCTGCGAGCATGCGCAATAAGTACTATCGATGTAGACTGGAATAACCAGACGTTAGAGATTGCTATTCGATTGAAACTTCTGGGGTATTTCCCGAACATAATTGGTTAGAAATTACAATAAAAACAGAAACGATGGAATGTAAATCAGTTTATATACATGCATGTTACATTATTATAATGCGTTGAGACTCATTTTGTGTCAATTTCTAGGTCTTACATATTAGCGATTTAGATCCTTTAAGTTCATAGGATGTTGGTGTAATTAGATATAAATACATATAAATAAATCTCAGGGTGGTCTAAGGCGTTCGCTTTATTATGGTCTGTCAATAAGTCAACTGGGCTAGTTTCGATCCGTTGTACACGTGTATCACTTAACAAGGAATGTTTCTTGACTTACCCCGTGGGTACCCCGTGGATCCTCCAGTTTACCCTCACCGCGAAAGAATATTACGCGCATAAAAATTATTGAAATAGGCCTACGCCATATTTTAGTGACGCAATCGACAAGTAGGGGCCTATGTGACTGTTCGATCCCGTTTGGAAAAATCATCGAAAATAATTAAAACGCAACAATAACCTGAAAAATTTAAATTATTTAATGGAAAATATCTAAAGAAAACTCGGAAATTTTGCCGAATAGTCATTGTGGGCACTTCATGGAACAGATTTATCCAGGTCCATAGTGGTTCAACCATGTAGACGATCTATGGTTCAACTAACTGGTTGCTAGACTAAAACTTCGTTTCGCACGCAACCCAATATGATTTGGACGTTGGCATTGAAAACATTATCACAGAGATTTACAATGGTGCGTGGGACTAGAAATGGCTAGTCTTGTTTACAGGAATATATCTGGGATTTATAATGTTTAAGGTTGCCAGACGATGGTGGACACCATCCTCGGTATCCCCAGTGGTTTCATTCCGTTCTACTCCACTAACCCCTGGGTTAATCTATGGGGAGACACGTTTTCAAGTTATCCGCCCTTGATGGTTGTGCTATTTTTATCGACTAATCTCATATATAGTTAATTTAAAAGGAAGTTGGCAAAGGGAAGTAACTCAACGGACAAGGCTAGGAGTTAGCCTAAATGAGAGAAGTCCAAATTATTCTAAATGCGTATTTATTAACAACAAATTATATAATATTATATTAATGAAGACCGTGCGGTTATGTATAGGTTCAAGAATTTTATTGGGAATCCTGATATCGTAGACGAGATATTGTGAATTGTTGTTGTTCTTAGTGTTTAACGTCCGCTTCCGCTTCCACCGAAGGTGATTTCGCAGACAAGTTGTCCTTTTTTTTCATTTTAATGATCTTAGCGCATGCGTCTTTGCTGTGGGAGGAAACCGGAGTACCCGGAGTAAACCCACGAGGTTGAGAAGGCACCCCTCTCTCCAAACCAGGCACCGAAACCACAACCGCAATCCAGGAGTGACCGGCCAACTAGAGGTCAAAGTGTATCACTCTAAACCACTAGGCCATCCCAACCCCACCGATTAAGAGAATTGTTGTTGTTAGTTAGTTGTATTTTACGGCCGCTTCCACCGAGGTGATATCGCTGAAAAGATTAAGAGAATCAAATTGCCAAGTATAAACGCAATAATAAAAAACATAACAGAATGAAACATTTCAGACAAAGAACGAATAGTAATAATAATAAGAAAAGTCAAACATATAGATGTTATACATATTTGAAATCAGCAAAACATACTTCAGATTTTGATAATACAATTAAATATAAATGAATTAGAAATATAAACATTACTTACATAAATTATTCATTATCTGAACATGAATATGGTTATCTGCCCTTATAAAAACGAAGGCGGAACGACAGGTTTGTAAACTGTTTTTTTGATTGGTTCGTAGACTATAGCTACAATCGAGGCCAGGGCAGGTAATTTAAAATCGTGGAAACCCTATGGATTAACCCAGGGTATAGTGGACACCCGATACGTTTGAGGTCATACGAGCCTCAAACGTATCGGGTATAGTGGAGTAGAACGGAATGAGTAGCCTACACTGGGGATACCGACGATTGGGTGGACACAATTAGGATAATCGACATTATGTGGAATTGCGTTTATATGGAATTTGAGAGGAATTCTTGTACAAATTAGGATTAGATGCCGAAGACAATATTACTTTGCTACACAGAGAAAATAAACAGACAATGTTAGTTTGTGGTTTTTATTAGAATTTAATCAACCCAGTGCAGAAAAGAACAGAGTTGAATTGTGTTCCATTACTATTGTTAGAATTGATAAAGAAAATGTGCTTAAAAAGAAGTACATGGGGTTGTGTATGACCAACATAATCAGATATGGTCTGCCACATTAAAATTTAACATTTATTCTGGCATGGTTGGGCATAGTTCAGCTCTGAATGTAGGTCTCATTACACTCGCGAGTGTAATGAGACCTAAGTTCAGAGCTGAACTAGGTTGGGCATAGTCTATTACTAGTGTTACGTTTAAATAATTTCAAGGGACATTATTTTTATTTCTGGAAATCGTGCAAAACGTACCGGTAAACGTACACATGGAGGTGGGTTAATCGGCCAGTTACCCCGCTCGTAAAATCCACCAACAATATGCTATTGTGCCCATACGGTTTGTTCGTCAATGACCCCGCCCGGAGTTTACCGAGTGTGACAGTGTGTGATTTCTTTTAAGTAAAGTCTTGATACCCGAGTCTTGTTGTTAAGCAAGGGGAGGTAACTATAAACATAGAAACAAACAAACACATCTTAAATATTATGTTTGATGTTGACAGTTTTGTGTTTGTCGGAATAACAATCCGTAAATTTGAAGAGGTAGGTTGTTTTTTTTAAAATTTGTAGTGTTACCGGAGTGGGTTTTTTTTTAACTGCATTATAACTTTAGTTACTAGTGTTGTAGCTTGCATGGTCGACTAAGAAACTTCAGAATCAGATATGTTCGTAGTTTGTTTTTTGACTTTGTTGACATTGTAATTTGTATGATTGACAATAAATGTCGTCGCGGTTGTGTGTGTGTCTGCCCTGTGTTGTATTTTACGTCTTCTCATATTGCCTTGTTATTGACATATCATTCTTCAATAAATGTTACTTCAACTAGGCCATAGTCAGCATGAACTCGTAGAAAATGCCCAAATTACTCCTCAAGGCTCATCTCTCAAGGCAGTTTTTATACTATGTCTATCTATAGGAATAATTAATTATTGAGACTAAAAGAAAAGAGTAGACTAAGCTACTAATTATATAATGAGGAATAATAGAAATCGGAAGGCCAATCACCATAGAATAGTACTAGCAGATGGTTGAAATCCACCAACCATCATTATGGTCAGTCACTTCGATAGACAGAATTTATCACTTTTCTTAATTTTAGATGCTGTTGAATGTACTGGTACCGTAGTCTATTTATTGTACAACCGACAACCTTGGTATAATTTTAAAAAAAGCTTCTTCTCACTCTTTGTTCAGGTTTTTTTTACCATCTCTTTGGAGTAAGGATGTCATTGAGTCAGTATTGAGCACTCATTTCTCTGCAAAAATAAGGCCTCGGAAATTCACTGTTTCTCAAAATAGATTTTCGTGTTAGCACACCAGTTTTTATTAGAAATATTGATAGCACATGAGCAAATCTTTGTACTCCTAGAACTGGCTAGAAAATATCTCATATCCCTGTTTTATATCATTTTGAGTGAGATGTAGGATTTATATCCCCATAAATAACTTGCAGCTTATTGTTTTATCTTGTTTATTTTCAGCTGGAAGTTATGCTGAAGTTAACGTGAAGTGAAGACACAGTAGAAACGTATTTATTCTTTAATACATTGTCAGAAAAACACAAACTTTAAACAATCTATTAGTTTTTTCAAAATGGCAACATCACAGAGAAAGAGTCAAGAACAATTTATTCAGAATTTGACCAAAAAAAGCAAAAATGGAACATGTCTTCCATGTAGATTTTCTCCTCCAGAGATTGCGTCCCTGTTAAATATGTTCCAACAACTGTGTGGCTCAAACAGTAAATTAGACAGATCATCCTTTCGTGATGTTCTCATGACCCGTTTTAAAATCACTGATGATTTTATCATGGATCGCGTTTTCCGGGCTTTCGATACTGACAACGATGGTTATTTGAAGGCTGAAGAGTGGATATGTGGTCTGTCAATATTTTTAAAGGGTAGAATGGAAGATAGAATTAGATATTGTTTCTGTGTTTACGATTTAAATGGTGATGGTTATATTTCACGTGAAGAGATGTTCCATATGTTGAAGCGTTGTCTTGTGAAACAGTCAACAGAAGAGGACCCTGATGAAGGTGTGAAAGAATTGGTAGAAATTGTCCTGAAGAAACTCGATATCGATCATGATGGAAAATGTTCAGTAAAAGATTTCCGTACGGCTGTAGAGGGTGACAGTTTATTATTAGAAAGCCTTGGTCAGTGTCTGCCTTGTGATACACTTTTAGAAGATTTCTTGCAACTGATTCACGGAAAGTTGACCACTAAAAACTTTTAGTGAGAGACGTTCAATTTGGTTATCCTTATTAATTGTGGTTTCCTGGTTTTTAAAAAAGGATTTCCCAATGTTTAGTTAAAATAATATCCAACTGAATTATGCTAGCGATGTTTTAATATTTATGCATTTTCCCATTGTTCTTTTTTCATATCTTTATAAGTGTAATGACTTCAGTATTATTTATGAGATAATGCCAAAATTACAAACAGAACAATAGGTCACAAAATATTTTCAGAAACAAAATAAAAAAGATAAATTTTTCTTGAGATATTCACCTTGTTCTATTGTTATTCAAAAATATTTTCCCAGTTTTATATTGAGAAATTGTCTGTTAATCTTAACTAGGGATAATGATCTAGAATTCAATCGCAGTTTTAATTGTTATCTTGTTTTTAATGTGTATAATATATTGTACAGAACTACAGATAATAGGTAATATTCCTCAAGCAATAGTAACTTTATGTAATTCTGCCTTGTAACATACATTGGCAAACAAATTTTTAATTTCTCCTGTGTATATTTTGTTCTTTTTATATAAACTTATACTACATACAACATGCTTAATAATAGTCTGAATTTTATAAACTAGCCGTTGCCATGCAAGATACGCCCACATTTAGCAATAGATGAATGGAGAACAGGGAAAATCTTATGGCTTGTCCTCTAATTGTCCCAATCGAAATTGAAAAATTACTGTTGCCTCTATCGTGTTCAAAAGGTTTTCAAAAAGGGGGGGATAACTTCGAAACAGATCGGGGGCGGGGGGGGGGATGGCCGAATGGTTAGCATGTGCTCGCTGTATCATAAGGCCTGTCATTGAGTCATCTGGCGTGGTTTCGAATCCCCAGTTGTACGTGACAAGGAGTAAGGTCGCCTGTCCAAACTCGTGGGTTTTCTCCGGGTCCTCCGATTTCCTCCCACTGCTAAAGACCCCTACGCGCAAGCGAATTATTAAAATAAAAAATTAAAAACCATGTTAGTCCTGAAATGACCTAGTTTGTGTTGAGTGGACCTTAAGCCCCATTTCTATCTCTATCTATCTCGAAACGGGTCACATAACACTGAATATCAATGGGATTCATCCTCTCATGACCTAAGTGTTACACACCAAATTTGAAATAAATCTGTTAAAAACTGTATGCGTTCAGATGGTTTTTTACAAATGTGGGTAACTCCAGAATGGAAGGTTGTGGAATATTAATAGCTTAGCTCCGGAATGGAAGTTGAACTCATCAACAATCTTTTGAGTTTTAATACATATTTAACGTTCCATCTAAAACAAACAAAAATTGTGGCTTGTGTAGGATCCACAACATTGGTATATGTATTACATCCTTTGTAACTATTTGCTGTAATAGGGAGCAGCCATTTTGGTGGGTAGTTTTTTTCAGACATATTTTAACGGTTTTAAATATCAAACAAAAATTGAGAAAGCACAATGCTTCACAAGAAAAACTTGATTTTGTGCACAATCAAGGGCAATAATCATGTAAGTTACAGTCCGATATATGTGTCAAAAACAAACTCATCAGAAATCATTTGGATATAAACATATATTTTAAAGATGCATTATCTAAGATCTAGATAAAGAGCAGACCATTCTTGCTATAGTAGTTTTAAAACAGATAATAAAATATGAATATGTTGAAAATTTCATTCAAATTACTTTGAGAGAGAAGTATATGGGTATTGGAAGATGTAGTGCAGATTGTTTATTATTGTAGCAACTGGAAATTAGAGACTTAGTCTTGTTTGTCCATTTTATTGTTAAATTTTTAAATTGCGCAGGTGTCCTCCTAATCAATTTAAATCTCTCCCAACCGATGACTTTGAGAGTTGATTATTTGTTATATTAATAAAATTCCTAAATAATAGTTATATCATTTGAGGCCAAAATAAAGACATGCAATAGGCAGATTTAGCCCTTACATAATACATCTTTAAAAGTGATATTTTGTACAATCAGGAGCAAATAATCCATAATGTTATGGTCTGATACCGAACCAAGATCTTTGGGATATAAACATATATTTTATGTTTCATTAAAATCAGATAAAACTTGTGATCTATAGTGTCCACAAACAAATGTGAATGAATATACAGGGGCATAATATGTTGATATGAAAATTTTGGTGTATAAAAAGGATATAAGGCCATATAACATTCCTTTTTTTCTCTATTGGAATTTTAGTTATTTGTTGCTACTATCAATAATTTCCAGGTGTTGAATCTTAGTTTAGGGATGTGACTAGTTACATATTTGGGAAATTCTTACTGTTGAATAATTTAATACAAAGGTCTATAGCCAATGCCACTTCTTTTGTCAGATATATGTTGTCCTGACTGACAAGAGGGAGTATGGTGTTTTAGAGACTGATAGCTTGATCATTTAGCTCAAATCAGCGAAGGTTGCTTGGGTAACAGTACAATTCCTCTTTCATTAATGGCTTACCTTGTCAGTGTCAAAAGCCATGTAACCATAATAAATTTGCAAAAATAAATCTACAGAAAAAATTGGGTAGTGAGAGTACTGGTATTGTAGAGATTTTCTTTTCCAAACTGTCTTTTGCATCCTTGGTCCTCCATATTCCTATTAGTTATGATAGTTCGCCAAATACTGGAATACAACGAATGGTCTAACGTTTGTGTTACCAGGCAATGGCGCAAACACTGGTCGACACTATGTAATCAGTTTATTTCTAGGGTTCAAAAGATGACCTAGATAATATCTTTAGTAAAGAAACAAGAATATTATATATGAAATCTGCCTGGTTTATTATAATAATATTAGCAATGTAAAATAGTCTACAGATATATAGTTTATATAGAATTATAACAAAAAATTCTCTCAGACTTATTTTCAAAAACAACTTTTTTCTCAAAAATGGCCAATGTTAAAGTAGGCCCAGCCTTGCTCCTTTACAATATTCCAGAAAATTTGATGCAACTTTTCGCACTTTTTATCATTAAGCAGATTTAAGGAAATCCTTGTTTTTGTGGTGTGACAGTTTTAGAGAATAAGTCTATAATATGCTGATATCTACTATTAATAAAAGTAGATGATGATTCTATAAGCTTTTAATTTTTTTTCTGGTAAATTGTTAAGGGTGATAGCATGTTACAGATTAATAATTTGAATGAACATGTTTACAGTACTCTAATTTCACAAACATAGTGAGTTATCTTAATGTCATTACAATCTTAAAGGATGTATCATATTTGAACCCCACCCACAAAAACTTGCGTCACACACACAATAACAGATCTTGATTGGAATATAAAAAAAAAAAAACTTCTTGATTTGGTAGGACGGTTTTCATAATCAGGCCATGTTCAACAAAACACACAGACATCTATAGTTAGGTTATTGTTTTTCAGTAATCAAGACTGCAATGTTTAGTTCTACTGAACATGGCCCAGATTATCTTAGGACAAAAGGCACAAGGGAGATAAACTACTGAATAGGTCTTGGGTTCAAACTTGTTAAATGAAACAGACATATCTTCAGGCTTTCCATAAATAACTATGTAAAATGAGAAGATTCATTTCATATTTTAAGGAATATTATCACTTTTCATTCTAAATATCAAAATTGAACTTAAATTAAATACATGCATAAAAATGGTTATTAAATGACATTTCTTTTCATTCAGATTTAGCAACAAAAAAATTTGAAAAAACAAAAAAACCTTATATTAAAATTAATTTTGAAACCCTCACTTATGACCTTGTTTAATCCAGATCTTATTAATATACCTGGGTTTGTATTTAAAGATATTTTTTACAAAGATAAAACCCCAGATTATCTTCACTTTGCATAAATAACATGACTATAACTTCCTTCAAAATACTCAAGAAAAAAATACATGTTTTTCATTTTTTTCTATATGCATTTAGTGCAACTGTGTAATATTCCTGAGCTTTTAGGTAATAATTTGAGGAAATGTTTTCACAAATGCTTGTGCATGATCGACCATATTCCAGATACTAAATAACATTGAGACATATATCATCGCCTTTACTTGGAAAGAACAATTTTCAATACTGTATATAATGATGATATCAGATATATTGTGCCCTGTTGAATATTCAATTCTTTATGCATAAACAGTTAAATAAGCTTCCTTTTCATACAAAATGTTTCAAAAGTTCCCAAAATTTTTTGGGGGGAATGGTACTGCACTTATTAACATTATTTATCACATTTACATAATCTGAGTTTATATACCGGTATGCCAAGGCGCCTGATCTATTCCAATATATACATATTCATTCCTCACCAATATATACATACATAACAGTTAATAATAACAGTAAATATATATCTTACATTAACAAATATACATCTAGGTCAAACCAATTTAATTTTCAGTTTTTTCGGACCTTAATAAGGAAAATTAGCCACAGAAGTCCTGTGAACAATGTTTTGCTTAAAATTTCAAAACTTACTAATTTGAAACTAAAACTTCAAGAACCAGAACATGAAGTATAATTTTGATCTCTCAAAACTTATATTGAAATAATATGTATATCATGCGATATGTTCAATTTAGTTTAAAACTGGTACTCTGCATCTATAATTTATAGCTATCTAAGAGTAAAGAGGGATTTATGAAAACATATCTTAGATATATTCTTTAATTAGCATGTTCTTTTGATATTAATATTGGTGTATATAACCCTAGGAATCTTCTCAGGGTGTCGACATTGTTTTTATAGGTCATGACAGATTAAGGCCGTATAGAGGTAACTGGATTGTTTGTTTCTTTGTTTATTACCAAATACATAGTATATAGGTTTCACAAAACAATAGTTCACAATAAAGTAGTAAAGGATAATATAACTCCTCATTACCTGCTAATTAACAAGGTAATCCTCTTAATCTCTTATGACCTATAAGAATAATGTTGGTGACCTGAGCAAATACCTTTATCTAAAGTACCAATATAAGAAAATAGAGAATATTTACTAGAAAAAAAGAAATTTACAAAGTTAATATACCTAAAGCAAAAAAAATAATAGTATAAAAACAAACATATTAAAAAATTTACATGATAATACAGAAGCATAAAAAATGAAAGCACAGTAATGATATGCAAATTAAAACATAAAAATAAATTTTTATCTCAAGATCTCAAAACAGGAGGTATACACAAGAGGAAAAGAAATAAAGTATCCAAAACTAAAAAAATCTCCCTTCATATAAGAAAATAAACACATTATTTACAGTAGGCAGAAACAATAATTATCACATCCAAATTATTCTTACTGAGATAATAACAGCTTTAGCCATAATGGCAAGAAAACTTTTTTTGAGATTTTAAATTATAATAAAAGCGAAACAAGAAAAATTGCATAAGGTATCAATTTCACATTTACTTCAGGCTTTTAGTGGTATTCATTGTCATAAGACTTTATCAAATATATGTAACATCTACTTCTTCTATATACACATAATTAACAGAAATAATTTAAAAATTAATTAATATGTTGCCTCCACCCCACCCTTTACAAATCATAATGAAATCACAACACAATAATAACCATAATAATAAACATAATTTGCATAATTTATTCATATGGTTTATTTTGTGTTTTATAGTTTTCCATACATTTACATATTCATAAAATAAATTAAGCATAAATTTGGTATGTATTCAATAAGAGATCTAGGTAATGGTAGGTTTGTTTTCAAGTAAATTTTAACATCTCAGAATTAACATTTATTTTCACACAATTGAAGAGGAGTCATGGGGAAGAACGATCTTAGTGACTTTTTCAATGAACCCCATTTAATGGCGCCATCTGGTAGCAAATTGTATAAGCTTTCTGTGGAACAATCTATTTCAGGTAAAAACGATCAGAGTCACATTGAACCAAGGCCCTTCTGAAATGGCCTCCCGGACAAATACAAGTCCATCGTACCCTTTATTTAACCTTAATTTGCCTGAAAAGTTGAAGTTAGTTGTACTGGTAATTAATTATGGTTCATATTAAGCATCATTTTGAAGTTGTAATTAAACCCACTCGTTGTTCTGTTCGCGTCAAACATTCTCATCCAAAAGTCTGTTTTTCCATTTATGCCAAAAGACAAAAATGTGACTTAGATCGTTCTTCCCCTGGGTTCTACAATTGTATTCCTATGTATCCTGAAATATTAGTCTTTAAAATTAGTTCCCCATAATGTTCTTAGTTTGAATGTCAACTTAGCAAAGAATCCAATGTTTCAACTCTGCTACAAATCCATGACTGTTGTAACAATATAACATGGAAATTAAAAACTACCGGGCAAAAGGAAGGTGACACATGTAAATCTACTTTTATCTATAAATAATGTTGCAATAAGTTTAGACATTTGACAAAATATACTCTGTAGTCTGTACACATCACAGTCACTGAATGCAGGATGTGCTGAATTTCGTGCAGTCACGAAAAATCTGAACACACTGTCTCTCGACGGCTCTACATTATTGGTCTACAAGGGGCAAAAACTGTACGACGATGGCGGCGTGATTGGAAAAGTTTGCTCTTCACAGTTAATAGTCAGGTTCCTGTTTATCACCGTAGAGGGGAGAGACTGGCACCTAACTACACTCAAGATGTTCATCCTTATGGTGGAGGTGGTGTTATGATATATGAAGGGATTTGTGACCTGCAGACAACAAGGCTTGTTATCATCCGTGGAAACCTGACCGGCCAAAGATACAGAGATGAATGTTCTGCATCCCGTGATAGTGCCATTCATGCAACAGCAACACATGGTTACCATTTTGCAGCATGATAATGCCTGACCACATACCGCCAGACTGGTCCGTGATTATTTGGACAATGTTAACATCCACATATTTTGGCCAGCATGAACCCAATAAAGCACCTCTGGGATCATCGTGATCGGCAACTGAGGCAACGGACACCTCCTCCCTCAAACCAACATCAGCTTTAGCAAGCTTTATTTCAAGAATGACAAAGGATTCCCAATGACATAAGACGACTGATGACATCCATGAAGAGAAACGTTTTGGCATGTATCAATGCCCAAGTCGGCCACACATGATATTAATGTTGTCTTGTCAAATGATCAGACTGCATAAGGACTTATTCGAGGGCTTCTCCTTCGGTCCTTGACTCATGTGTGTGTAATTGTTTATCTAGACCCCATTGATCTTTAACCCTGACTTGTGGCCAGTATACTAATGTAAATGATTTGATCTTTGCTTCATCGTTTAAATCAAAACTGTCTTTGGTTTTATTCAACATGTACACGGAGTGTCAAGTTTCTTTAGCCCGGTAGTTTAGTTCAGTTCTCTCATAAACAGTCTTCCATATATTTAATTAACTGACAAATCGACAAATCAGAAAGATATATATTTGTTATTGGGCCCTGGTAAATTTTTGGTAGCAATAAAATATATATATTCTAAGACAAAGTGAGAAATCTACATGTAAGTAAAAAGACAATGACAGAACACTGGAATTTCCCACTTGTTCCAAAATATACATTTCAATTTTTTGTAACAATAAAATCTCAAATATATAACATTACTTGACAAATTAGACAAATGAAAAATAGACTAAATTTTCACTTAGAATTGTAATATTCGCATGCAGGACACAATTTTCAGTCTGTAATGCTATACATGTCCTGTACATGTATATTTTTCATCAGATTTAATAGAAAGGGCTCTATGTAGTCTATAAAATTAGAATTTTCTTTTTCAACTTATTGAAAGAAATCTATTCCTCAGAAAGTTTTGTTTAATTTTCACAATGAATGGAAATAACTCCTTAAAATTAAAAGAAAGGAGAAGGACCTTAAGTTATAAAATAAATTTTCATTACTTTCATTTCTGCCGAGGTTAATGAAGTTCGAAAGAAAACTTTTTTTTTTTACTTTTCTGATCAAATGAATGATGCTGTCCAGATTTGGTTTTAAATGGCCTACATTTACTAACATGTGATTCTAACTGAAAATATGAATCTAAATACAAACAATAGGTTAGAGTGTCAACTGCATATATATGTGTTATACAAAACACTTTATATAGATCTAATTTATCATAAAATAATCAGATCTCAATTTACAATCTGTCTGGATAACAGATATAATCTAGTCTTTGTTATCACACTGTCTTTACAGAATGCATCTGAAGGTGGTTTTATCAAGAAGCAATATAACAGATAATTTAGTAAAAGAAAGCAATGTGAATGCAAAATAATAAAAATTTCTTTTTTTTTTTAATTTCTACCAAAAAAGTATTTTACTCCCATTTCGGCATTTTAATCATCTTTACAAATCATCTTTACAGGGAAAATATTTCTGGTTAGAACTTCATCAAGAACAGATTTTGCATTTTCATCACTGTTATAATAAATCAACTATATCATCAAATCTTAATTGTTTTGGGTGATTAAAATACCTTCAATTGGACAAATGCAATCTCTGCTATCATACTAACTTTAACAGAGACTGTCTGAATTATAAAAATGTAGCCTCTGTTATCAAATTGTGTTGGACTTTAAGCCATGACAAGGGGTTCATCATCTGAAAAGCCTTGAATCATGGGAGTATCTTCATCTCCTGAAATAAAATACATACATTTACTAACACAATACAGAGAGAGAAAAATGGGGTTTAACCTCCACTGGACACAAACTAGGTCATTTTGGGACAAACATATGGTTCAATTTTATTTAAATAATTTGTAAGGGCCTTTAATAGTGGGAGGAAAGCCACAAGGGTGGAGCAATCTAAAGGCATGTTTCATAGAAATGGCTAACAACAAAGACTTGACAAGTCAAAAGCATCTTTTCCATCCACAATAAAATCCAAACTCCAAACACAATTGAAATATTATTATTTATTGTCGACACTGTACCAGATATCTTGTATAACTGAACATACGTACCTAAATCTTCACTAGAGAAGGTAGTTGTACCAGATCGTGTATCATAATGAGAATTAGCAAACGCTGAAAAACTTCTCTGTAAACGTCTATGACGTACTGCCATGACAACCAGTACAGTAATTAAGATAACAATAATAAGACTGATAGGCACTGCTATAGCAACCAGGTTTGTTTTACTGATTAAAACATCAGATTGTGGAACACTTGAATCTCTTGTGGTGTTGGAATCTGAAACAGACAATAAGGCAACACAAATAAAATAACTTGTTTCTCGGGCACCGCCCGCACGCAAAATTGGTTGCGCGTGCAGTCTATTTATTAGTCTTGATGAAAAAAAATAAATATGTAACGCCCGCCCGCACATCGACAAGCAAGTCGTAAAAAAAATATCCCGCATGTACCTACATCCGCCATACATGTATATCTATTCAAATGTATTAAAACTGATTCAGATGAACATGCTGTCTTTTTTATCCGAACAATGGCGAAGTTTGGCAGATTTGCCTTTTTTATTGATATCGAAAGAACCTCCATTTTGTATCACGTGATATTAATTACCTCCCCTGATAAACTAGAATTTGATTCGTGTTAAAAGTCATTGGCGACAATATTTCAATCATTCGATCGTAATCGGCTCATTATTGCCGGCTTCAGTCGGTCCTTGTTTGGAAAATCCTATTGATAAAATAATGAACCGTAGAACAGGTTAATTAATTATAGCTAAGAATACGATACGATGACGATAGTCGTCATAATGCATACCTTAGAATCTGGGTCATTATTAGCACATTTACGGTAGTTTCGATAATCCGGAAAATAATAATTGGATTACCGATTTGATGGTTTTACTGACCAGTTGTTAGTTAGATTTAAATAGTCATTCAATATAAACACCGGATAGAACACCGAATATCCTGAGAAACACACCGAATATCCCAAGAAACAGTATTTCCGGCAATCTCCAATACCGATGACACGGTGTGACATGCATTGGTTGGAATTCGGTAAATAATTATAAATAAACCGCTGATACTAGATTTAGTTTTAAATACTGTTTACCATGATTATTATTTTTGATACACCTGGTGAAAGAGGCTTAGTTTTTAAAAATATTGTTGTCTTTATGGAGGGCTATTACATAGTCGTATGGAATTTTATTTTAAACCAATTTCAATTATGTGAATTAAATATGGAAAATTATTTTCCTTTCAGTCAGTGTTCAGTCTCAGTGTTTTAGTAGACTTGATTTTGGGTTTATGTTTTAAGTATGTACAATAAAGTTGAATATAACGGAAAGCAAAAACGTAAACAAGTAATGACTTTCTCATTTAAAAAAAAAAAAAAAGAAAGACCGCCCTCCCGCCCCAACAATTTTCAGCAATAGCCAAATTTTATTTTGCACCATCAATGAGTAAAAAAAAAAAAGAAACCGCCCTCCCTCCCTACAGTTTCAGCTGTCAGTTGCCCGAGAAACAAGACATTTATTTTGTGTGGCCTAATGTATTGTAGATTAAATCTAACCATCTATCATTAAGCATTTTGCTGTTAATGAATTCATATTGATATAAAGTCTAAAGCTACCTTACACTCAAGTTTATTAGTGGTGGTGCTCACACTGCTGACAAGGAAAGTGTGCCTAGTCATTGAGATGGGATAAAAACCATGCTCCACCTGTATACACATTGATATACAAGTAAGAGAACACTTGACAGTTGGCTATCGAAGAGAGTAGGTAGAAACATTACTGTCCAACCAAACAGCCAGTTACCATACACAATGGATTCTATTTCGTTCAAACTAATATTCCTTGCAATTGAAGCAAATTCAATTTAAACTGGAATGATTAAGACTATATTTTGGTTATACTGAGATTAAGACATCTTAATTAATTATAATATGTTTGCGAGTAGGAGATTCAAACTGTCAATGTCTATCTTTAGGACACTGCCAATTTCCAAGTAGTTGAGATAAGGGAATGACCAAAATATACACAAAGTGACATACATGGAAAGGTTAGGTTAGCTACAGCACTATAATATCCATCCTTAGTTTGGTATTTAACACAGAAAATATAAACAAATTCCAATTCAGCTTTAACTAGGAGTTCTGTTTGCTGGGTCATATTCTTTACCAGATATTTACGGTCGCCCTCTCTCTTGATAGTTACTTCATAGCCCTGCGAATACAAACAAATATTATAATCCAGACTCTCCCTTTGTAAAGAAGACTGATGTTTATCTTCAGCAAGCAAGGCCATACTGTCTATCATACAAAATCAATCATTCAAAATTCATCTAAACCATAATTTCATTTGGTATCGATAGTATCTTACTGTATAAATAATTAATCACATCAAGGTCTCAATACTGAATCCTGGACAGGTCTCGATAATAAATCATGGACAGGTTTTACTGTATCAATAATAAATTGTGGACAGGTTTTACTGTATCAATAATAAATTATTGACAGGTTTTACTGTATCAATAATAAGTTTTAATGTGTCAACTAAACTTACTTTAATTGATTGAGCTGATGGTTTATCTCCACTATTCATCTTCCATGACAACTTCAACAAACCACGTTTTTCAATGTGTACAATGAGATCATCAACGGCAGCATAGGGTGCTGAAATTCATAAAAAAAAACTACCTATAATCGGCAATACTATATACCGGAAAAAACAGGAAAACAACCAGAAAACACAGGAAAACAACTGGAAAACAACCAGAAAACACCATTTTATACTGAATACCGGAAAACACCGGAAAAATACTAAATACCGGAAAACACACTGAATATCGGAAAATACCCTAAATAGGTAACCCAGAGACTGGCACCCTAAATAGGTAACCGGGAGCCTGGTTCTCTGTGTGCCTGGGTTAGGGTTAGGGTTAGTTTCCGGTTTATAATATAGCCCTTCTCCGGGTTACCTATTTAGGGCGTTTTTCGGTATTTAGTGTGTTTTCCGGTATTTAGTGTTTTTCCGGTGCTTTTCGGTATTCAGTATAACACTGTGTTTTCCGGTAGTTTTCCGGTGTTTTCTGGTATATAGTATAGCTCCCTATTAATTAGTATTATTAGTATTTTTATTAAAGTTGACATAGTGTACAAACTAGGCCAATCCCTCCAATCTATGTATAATATCATTTGATGATTGTAATTTATTATTTTCCCACAGACCAGATCAAGATCAAATCCTGGCAGATTTTTAGAATAAATGTTGGGCCAGAAGAATATCTGAGTAATGAGAAGGTATTTAGTCTAACTCAAATCAAAATCAGAACAAGACCTTCATTACCCAATAAAAATAACTGCCAAGACTTTATAAATACTGTAAGATATAATCAATACACAATACATTGGTTAATTTAACACAATTACACTTTACACATTAAAATCCCTAATACAGAATTGATAAACAAATAATGCACTATTTTGATGTAAAGACATTAAGCACATACAAGTATAACAAACAGTTGCTATGCAAGCTTAAAAAAAAGAAGCGATATTTGAACAATTGGGGTCCATAATTAAGGAAGTTAATGTCCAATATGCGCAAGTATCAAAATTGTGACCTCTAAAGAGTCCACAAGCTAAAAACATGATTTTTCATACAATCAGGGGCCATAATCCCGGAAGATATAGTCAGTCCAATGAGTGCAAATAAACATTTATTCTAAGTTTCATCAGTGACGTCTAGAGGTACGGAACCGAATCGTTGCCATATTAAGAGAAAATATAGTAGTTAAAATTGACAAATTATCATAGTCAAAATGGTAAAAATGGTCATTTTCGAGATTTTTCACTTTTAAATATCACATAACACAAAATCACTATATTAGTATCAAAACAAACCAAAAAAATCTAGTTATGTTTTTTCACTTTCTACTTTTCGCCTTTGCAAATTCACTCTAACTTTTTCATCTTTGCATTTTTCAACTATCAGAACTTCTCTATTGTAATTTCCACCACTAAAATTTCTCCAATCGAACAGACAGAGGGTGTCGTTCGGGGTACAGCCGAAGTTGACGTCATAAGACATATTCAGTATTTATCGTCTCAGCTAAAATTACTACTCCATTGGGTTATTCTTAAGAATTGTCCGATTTTAGTATTTTTTTTATTTTTTGGGGGCAGAAATAAAATAAATTCATTGTCATGTCGAACCGCTTTTTGTTTAATCAGTTACATTTCGAACCTTGAGGTTGGCTCCATTGTCTTAATAGACCGGATGAATCTTTGACAGCACATCGACATGGATGTGAGCGAATTTCTGGCGTTTTATCTGAAAAAAGGTGAAACTACAAAAGAGGTGCCTGGCTGCCTTAATCAATTTAAAAAAAAGCTTTACAGTTATTAGACGATGTAATAAATTGCAAACAAGATAAATAGGGCATGGTAGAGAGTATCATCTTTCGCCAGGAAGAGTTAATCCGCCAAAGTTATTTATTCCACAAGAACAGTTACAATATTTAGTTGATAAAGATCTGTAATGTGGGAGTTAAATAATGCGAAACTAGAAACAAAAGTCATATTAATTAAAATACAACTAGAAACAAAAGTTGTATTAATTAAAATATAAGACGGGCCTAATTAGGCCTATATGTACCTCTCCGACAAGACTCAAGAGTTAAAAAAAAAAAAACCCTATATTATTGACGGTCCGGTGGTAACATGTTAGTAATAGTTATTTAATTTTAATCATTAGCATTTTATACTTTTGCAAAGCGGAATTTTTTTTTAAAACAAGTATCCGGTAACCAGTATGTAGGCCTAATAAGTTCTATGTGGTCTTCAATAAAAATACAGATGTGACGTCATCTTTTGATGTTGGCGTACAAGTACTTCAAATAAAGTACACCTCTATGGTACCTACAACTAAACAATTACCTACAAATAACATATTACGTTAAATATTGTTTTATATAATTAATTAATCACCAGGTGTTTTTATAAGTCAAAATCCCGTAGGCCTACGTCGAATCCATTCACTTGATTTGACATGCTTATTGTTTGAAATATATGTGTAGTCTATATTGTGTGTCGTGTCCACGGGTTTGTATTGTGTAATTGTTTATGTGTGATGCGGTCCTCCTGCTCTTACTATTCTCTCAGCTAACCGAAGAACTCCAAATGCATCAGCCGCTTATATCAACGTAGATTTATGACGTCGTGTGCCCATAGTCCCTTCTCAGGAAGCATTAATCTTAGTCCAGATGAGTTATGACGTCATCTTCGGCCGAACTCGGAAACACGCCCCTTTCCTTATAATATCAGTTAGATTGGAGAATATGTGATAGTCGAAAATACAATGGAGAAAATCTGATAGTTGAAAATGCAAAGATGAAAAATTTACAGTGAATTTGCAAAGGCGAAAAGTAGAGAGGGAAAAAACAAAACTAGATTTTTAGTTTGTTAACTTTTGTCGAGCAATTTTGTTTTATGGTAAATATCTATTAAAATGTATTAAGTGTTATATGATTTTTACATGTGAAAAATCTCGAAAATGGCCATTTTTACCATTTTGACTGATAATTTTGCAATTTTAACCATGATATTTTCTCTTAATATGGCAACGATTCGGCTCCATATAGAGGATCCACAACCTTGGTATTACATACTTTTACACTATTTGTGTACAACGAGTGGCCATTTTGTCGAACTCAACCATCATCAGGGTGTATATTTAAACAATTTTTAAAATCAGATTTTCGTACAATTAGGGGCCATAATCCATAAAGTTACGGTTCAATAAGCGCAAATATCGAAAGGATCGGAGATCTTTTGGATATAAATATAGATTTTAAGTTTCATCAAAATTGGATAACAATTGTAACCTCTAGAGGGTCCACAACCTTGGTATTACATACTTTTACATTGTCTATATAGACCCGGCAACGGGATAATTTTTGCAAGTGCAAAATTACTTTATTATCTTACTTTCGGTCCCCAACCGTATCACTGAGATCCGATCTTGCCTGCACTGTACAGGGACTCCTCCACCCATCAACAGTATTTTCAGTAAGAAGTTAATTTGTCACAGTCTTGTAATTTATTTATACCTTTACAATATTTGTGTACAAGAAGCAGCCATTTTGTCAGGCAATTTTGGTCTCATTTTCACCAAATTCTAACTCAACCATTATTAGGGTGTAACTATGATATGTTTTAACTGTTTTTGAAATCAGATAAATATTAATTAGATTAGACACAACTAGACTATGCTGTTGGCAGCAAATTTACAAACACCTGCTACTGTTGTAAAATAAAATGGTAGTTAGAATATACCAAGATAACTTACGGATGATGACAGTCAATGGTCTGGAGTTCCTGGAGCCAGCAACATTTGTTCGAACACGGAATCTGTATGTTGCTCCTCGGGCTAAATCTGAGATAGTATCAGATATTTCATTTTCGGTGTATGGTGCCGTTAAAACATGAACCACAGGTTTATTTCGTTCACTCCTCTCAATATGATACTTCTACAAATAAAACAAGACAACAGTGAGGCTGATGTCCCCTGCCAAAATCACAAAACAAATATTTTGCACATTTATCTTTTTGAAAAGTATTGTGCAATCAAACTGATTATCTATACTTAGTTTAAGTAGAAAATGTTGATGATCGTACTCAGTCAAGGTTTTGAAGTACCTGGTAGTGAAACTCTACACTAAGTTTCATCACTATCCCTAAGTTACGAGTCAAATTTATCTTGTCCCAAAGCATCAACCAATGAAATTGCCTTGCTCTGCTTAGCTTAGTGGAAAATGTTAGTTGTTCAACTCAGTTAAGACAGTCACCTAATTTAATTTAAACATTCTACCTCAAGTAAAAGCAGAGTTGTTATGACCATTCAAATTGCTCATCGCAACTTAACCTAAGCAGAAAATTGTCACGATCGAACTTTGCCAAGGTATTGATATATACTCTGAGTTTCATCACTCTCACCCAATTAGAACCAAAGTTATGGTGTTCCAAAGTCTCAATCAATCAAATTGCTTATCTTTGTTTAGCCTTAGTGGAAAATATGCATGATAGATCTATGTCAATGCATTCACCTAATAGCCACCCACACCAAGTTTAAACATTCTACCTCAATTAGAAGGAGTGTTATTGTGTTCCGAAGTTTCGACCAATCAGATTGAAGTCACTACTTAGCCAAACAGAAAATGTTCATCATCAATCTTAGTCACAGTATTGATGTAATGAAACTATACACCAAGTTTCATCACTTTCACTTAATTAGAACCAAAGTTATCATGTTCCAAAGCATCAACCAATCAAATTGCTTATCTCATCTTTGAACTCCATCAAAGCAATCACCTAATAATAAACACCTACACCAAGTTTGTAATGGACTGACACGTTTAATAGTCCCCTGCTTTCTTCGAAAGGTGGGGGGACAACAAATATTATAATATCTATTCAACAAATGGTTGCCAAGCAAGATACACTCACATTTTGTAAGAGATGAACAAAGACAGGCGAAAATTCTTGACACATCATATATGAAAAACAAATCTCCTAAAAAACTGTAGCCTCTTTGCTAGGGGATCACTATAGTCTCCACAAGCTACAACTGTGATTTTTTTAACAATCAGGAGCAGTAATCCAATCCAGATCTTTGAGATATTCCAAGTTTCATCAAAATGGGATAAAAATTATGGCCTGTAGAGGATCCACAATAAATGTGAACAGACACACTTACAGATGGACAGAGAGAGAGAGAGAGAGAGAAATGGGGTTGGACAGGCGACCCTACTCCTTGTCACGTACAACCGGGGATTCGAAACCACGCCAGTTGACTCAATGACAGGTCTTATGCTACAGCACGCACGTGCTAACCATTCGGCCATCCAACCCCCCACAGATGGACAGGGGTGGCATATAAAAATTGTGATCACTAGATGGTCCACAAGCTAAAATCAGGGACAATAATCAATGAAGTTACAGTCCATATAAAACCAATATTTGTATGTTAAAACTAACCAGTGGAATTAATGTCTTTCTATAACTACATGGTGAATGCCAAGTCAGAGTAATACAAGTAACCTGTGTTGATTTATTAGAACAACCAAATTTAAAACTTAGATCTTTTGGTTCGGCTAAATCATCTGAAAATAACAAAAGTTAAACCCCCATAAAAGCTGTAATATTCCAGATTTAAAAATATACACAAATAAATATATCCTTTCCAAAAAACATATTGGTCAAAAAATTTATTCAAATCAATGAATCCTAACCTAACTGCAGTTATTACTTTCTATTGATTTCATGTTGCTATTTTTATCAACATCATATCAATAATTCATTTCAGGGTCCTCTGAATATCACTGAATTGAAAATATTATTTTCCATGTCTTTAAAAAGGCTTAGATATACAAAATTTTGCCAAATCTCAGATTTTGCAAGAGATGGACTGAGAAAAAGCTATAAAAGCGATTTTTCGTACAAGCAGGGGCCAGAATCCAGGATGCTATGGTCTGATATGAAACAACATCAAAAGGAACCAAGATCTTTGGGATATAAATATATATTGTAAGTTTCATCAAGATCAGATAAAAAATTTGTCCTCTAGAGTGTCCACAAGCTAAAAACGTGATTTTTCGTACAATCAGAGGCCATAATCCATGAAGTTATAGTCTGATTTGCGTGAATATCAAGTTTCATCAATATGTTGATCAACATTGTTTGATGAGAAAAACAAATATTTGTACGTTTTAGTTTTTGTTAATGTTAAAATAAGATAAATAATAATGTAAACGTACCTTCGTCAGTTTTCATAGTTTTGGGTATACTGAGCGAACATGTAGTAGATTCTATGCCAACTCTAAAGAAATACAACTCACAAGCTTGTAAGCCAGTTATTGTTTTTGTTAACACTGTTGTGGCTAGTCTACTGGTTCCAGTTAAAGATAAGACATCTATGTTAGATCTCTCTTGATAGTAGATTACGTACTTCTATAATAACAGAAATAACAGAACAAATATAGTACATATATTAAATATTCTCTATTAATAATGGTCATTTATCAGTACAATCTCCACATATGTATTTCAATGCACAATATCTTTTCCATCAATATACATCTTGTATATTATAACAATTTGAATTTATCAAGTGCTTAATGCATCCAAGGTGCATGCTCTAAGCATTTTGCAACTGTAATCATAGACGATTATTGTTTAATGTGCTATAATATATATCTTAATAAACTTTGGATGAAGGAAAAGATATCACACAAAATAAGAATCTTCTTTCTAGAAACTAACCAGATTAAACCTCGGAATAAGAAAATGTATTTAAAGGAGATAAATCACTATGGATTTGGGACCTAGAAATTGACACAAATGGGTCGCAACGCATATAACAATGTAATATGAATGTATACGTATATGAACTGATTTACATTCAATCGTTTACATTTTTACTCTAATATCAAATCAGTTATGTTCGGCAAAATATGCCAGAAGTCTCTATCAAATGCCAACCTCTAGCGTCTGGTTATTCCAGTCTACACCGATAGTATTTATTGCGCATGCTCTCCAGATAAGAATATGGCGTCACCGTTTGACATAACTTGTGAAATATGTCTAGCCTCGTTCTTCGAGTCCCTTGTTACAAATGGCGCTGAAACGCATTATGGTATACGATTCGTGAACTAATGGTAAAATGTTTATTTTGTCTTAAATATTGGATATTAGAAGCCCATCGTTTCCCGGTAAGATCACAGCATCAATGTTGATTTAAACTGACAAATAATTTGTGTTTTCAATGTCGAAGACTTTGGATGATACTGAGTTGGAGACTTAGCTACTTTAAATCAAATTTTAGTTCCATTTTGTGTGTAATAATACAAAATTCAACTTACCAGACCCTTCTTCTCAAATCCGTGCGGTGGTGAAAACTGTATAATGAATTCTGTTGCACCAGATTTAGTGATATTAGTAATCATTGGACGTCCCAACCTTTCACCTGTGGAATCAAATTTAAAATTAATTGTTTTAATGAGGGCTTCCACTTCAAAATTTACACTGTCACCCATTTTTGATAACATATAAAACTTTTGCATATTAAGTTAATATTTTATGTTTTTTTATTTATGATACGGTTTCATGAATTCGCATGTCTACACCACTTTGTGTCAATACACAAAAAATTATATATTGGACTCATGTGCTCTATAGAAAACACACTGACCATGATAATTTTGATTTGTAACACAATAACTTCGAAATGAAGATAAATATATAATTATCCATGGCATATTTCTCACATTTATCGGTCTTAGACCACCTCTTACCACATTACGGACCGCAGATTAATGATATAAATACTAATAACGAATAACTTATGAACTAAGGACAGACTAACTTCACAGCTAGCAAATCTAGCGCCCCTTACAATATTGTCGTGCACAATAAGAGTAGACTATCAATATTACTAAGTGAATTATCAATATTGCTATAAAACATTTTCTTAATTATTCGATAAGCAAATTTTCTAATCCCTAGCTTTTATTTCTATAATTCCCACAAGGCCGTAATATCAGATTAAAAAAATTCTAATGCATTTTTCTCCTAACACGTGGTTGAGGATTTGTGTAATTTTTATACTGTTTTTATTTAACACGTCGCTTGGTTGGATTTGAAGAGTAAAACTTCATTTCTAATCCACTCGACACAAACTAGGTCATTTCAGGACTAACATTTTATTTCAATTTGTTAGCAGGTCGGGGTCTTTAGCAATGGGAGGAAACCGGGGGACCCGGGGAAAACCCACGAGGATGGATAGGCGACCCTACTCCTTGTCACGTACAACAGGGGAATCGAAACCATGCCAGTTGACTCAATGACAGACCTTACAACGCGCACACGCTAACCATTCAGCAATCCAATCCCCCTGACTAACAATGGACCGCTTTAGGTAACTGATAGGATTCTCACCTAACAATTAACTTTTATTGTTCTACTACCATCATTAATTATCAATAGTGAGTATAATCCGATGACAACTATGTATACAACTCTATAACATCAACCAGATAATGTGGCTTCTATATACATGTGCAATATTCTATACAGACTACAAGATGTAGAATCTTATAGTTACATAGCAGAGGCTGAGTGTAGCCATGTTTGAGTTTTTTCCGGTGTTCAAAAGGACCTATGGGTCAGGTATAGTTTCAGTCATTTTCCGTACAACTTGGTACCCATTGTTTCATTTCTTATAATAAGTTCCGAAATTCAGAAATAAAGAGATACTTGATCAGAAATAAATAACTTTTTAAATCTAATAATTATTCTCTTTGCCATAATAAATACAATGTACTAGTGATCAAACAGTTGACTTTACCTTTAGTTTTAATTTGTTTGTTACCAAAAGGTCCTGGTCCATTTTTGGTGATAGCCTGAATTCTAACATCATAAGAATGTCCTGGACAAAGCTGATCAACTGAAACAGAGACAATACAACAATAATTAAAACAATCAAATTTAATTCTAGTTTCAAATGAGTTGTAAAATATATGATAACCAATACCATGTGGAGTCACTATTCTCAGTTGTTCCGATTTACTAGAATACAGAATGTATATTTTCTGGTGAAAATTTTAAGCTTGTAGGTCAAAATCTCTTAATGTAGTGGCACAATCCAAATCACATGGAAAGATAATCAATGAGATCCTGTTGTCTTTACATAAAACCTGCCCTATTCCACGAAGATTTATTTTCAGTTTTTACCATAAATTGTTATTTATTATTATGACATTATGTGTAAATTATTCTTATTGTGTTATAAAGATAGTTAAAGGTATGCACAATCAAAGACAGGTCCAGTCTGGGTTCCTTTTGTCTTTATTTTTTTATTTTTTTTTTGGGGGGGGGGGGGGGGTAGGGGGGCACTCATACTTCATTTTGTGGGACAAAAAAAATTGGTTTAGTAAGTTTGTACTCACTTTTTATAGAAGGATTAGTTGAAGTGAGAACTCTTTCAGTTACACCATATTCTTTCTCTGTGTACATGATATAAATATTATATTTTGTAGTGGTCTTGACAGGACTCCAATTTATCTGTGCTGTTACGTTAGTGGTTACAACTTTACTTATTTTGACAGCAGCAATGGCAGCTTCTGTGAAAGTAATATTTACTGGAGTTGTTTTATCCCCTTCGCCAGCTGAATTCTGAGCCGTTACCTGAAATAAACATTACAAATTGTTCAGCATCTTTACTTGAAGACACAACAGGATGAATAAGATCCCATAAAATGCTTTGTTCTTAGTTCAAGGATTATCATGTCTTACAATATTTTTAAATTCATATTATAAGTACCGGTACTTAACATGTAATTTCTTATTGAAAGTAGTAATGTCTCCTTCAAACAAATGTTGAATTTGAGAATTCACCCAAAATTGACTTACCCAAATAGAATATTCGTTCTTATTCATCAATTCATCGTCAGTCAGTTTAAATGCTCTACTATTGGCAGCAACAGTAATATGCTTGGTTTCATATGTTTTCAAATTCTTATAATGTACCTAGAAAATACACCATATAAATAATACAGCTCCATTTTGAACGGTCATTTTCAAGTTTTGGGGATCGGTGGTGACAAAAACACCTATAAGTGATGGGCAACTCTGAATTTCGACAAGTTTTCGAAAAAACAAACATTTCGAAGACAGGAGCAGTAACTCAGCAAAATGTTGTTGCTTCCTTCTGAATTTCAGTGGGATTCATCCCAGGGTATTTACAAGGTTTCGGTGATGTGGGGCAGTAACTCTCAAATAAATCTCTGTGTTACTCTTGATTTTTGATATGATCATTAGAAGATTTCTGTGACAGGAGCAGTCATGACTTTGAATTTCAATACTGTTCCTTCTACAAATTACGCAAACAAAAATCAAATCTAAAAAAAAATCTCAAGCACTATAGGTTTCAGTAACAAGAGCAACAACTCAGTAGGGTTCCTCCTAGCTGAACAACAGTAGGATTAACAACAAATTGCTAAAGCTTTTACAAGAATTGTGGATGGACATAGGAGCTGAAAATATGTGGCTAAATTAAAAAAGATATGTTGCCAGGCAACGAAACATACACCCACAGCGGCTAAATCGTCCGAGCGGTCAACAAGGGTTGTTGCATATTTATTCCTTTGTAGGTAATTGGGGGCCTTTACAAGACAGTTCCATACAGATCAGATTATAATTTTTGCTGTTTGAGGGTTCATAGGGTTCTACAAATTGAAACAAGGCTCTCAACTCTGAAAGTAATCTACAGAAATTGTTGAAATTTGACAGGCTTTTTCGTTTCACAAATTTAAATGATGCATATAAATTCCATACATATCGGATGATAACTTTCATCAATCGAGCATTAACAAGGTTGAACAAAGTCAAACAAGGGCAATAACTCTAGTAGTAATAAACAGAAATTGCTGAAATTCAATAGGATTCTTCTCTTTACAAATTTAAATGATGCATGTAAATTTCATACAGATCAGCATATAACTTTTGATGTTAGAGCATTCACAAAGTTCAACAAGTGGAACAAGGGCCATAACTCTAGACGTTATAAACGGAAATTATTGAAATTAAATAGGCTTCTTTGTTTCACTAATTTAAATAATGCACATAAATTTCAGACAGATCGGATGATAACTTTTGCCGTTAGAGCGTTGACAAGGTTCAATAAAGTGAAATAAGGGCCATAACTCTAGACATAATACACAGAAATTGCTGAAGTAATAAACGAAAATTGCTGAAATTCTATAGGCTTCTTCGTTTCCCTAATTTAAATATTGCATATAAATTTCACAAAGATCGGATGTTAACTTTTGGCATTAGAGCGTTCACAAGGTTCAATAAAGTGAAACAAGGGCCATAACTTTAGACATTATAAATGGAAATTATTGAAATTAAATAGGCTTCTTCGTTTCACTAATTTAAATAATGCATATAAATTTCAGAAAGATAGGATGATAACTTTTAGGTTAGTGCATTCACAAGGTTAACCAAAGTGAAACAAGGGCCATAACTCTAGAAGTAATAAACGGAAATTGGTGAAATTCAATAGGCGTCTTCTTTTCCCTAATTTAAATATTGCATATAAATTTCACAAAGATCGGATGTTAACTTTTGGCATTAGAGCGTTCACAAGGTTCAACAAAGTGAAACAATGGCCATAACTCTAGACGTTATAAACGGAAATTATTGAAATTAAATAGGCTTCTTTGTTTCACTAATTTAAATAATGCATATAAATTTCAGAAAGATAGGATGATAATTTTTGGGGTTAGAGTGTTCACAAGGTTAAACAAAGTGAAACAAGGGCCATAACTCTAGAAGTAATAAACGGAAATTGCTGAAATTCAATAGACCTCTTTGTTTCCCTAATTTAAATATTTCATATAAATTTCACAAAGATCGGATGTTAACTTTTGGCATTAGAGCGTTCACAAGGTTCAACAAAGTGAAACAATGGCCATAACTCTAGACATTATATACGGAAATTATTGAAATTAAATAGGCTTCTTCGTTTCACTAATTTAAATAATGCATATAAATTTCAGAAAGATAGGATGATAACTTTTGGGGTTAGAGGGTTTACAAGGTTAAGCAAAGGCCATAACTCTAGAAGTAATAAACGGAAATTGCTGAAATTCAATAGGCTTCTTCGTTTCCCTAATTTTAATATTGCATATAAATTTCACATAGATCGGATGATAACTTTTGGCATTAGAGCGTTCTTCATCTCACTAATGTAAACAACATATATCAATTTTAAAACAATTAAATGATAACTTTTGGCGTAAGAGCGTTCACAAGAAATTGTGGACGATGGACGGACCGACGGCAATATACGTCCACATTTCTATGTGGGCGTATAAAAAGCATAGTAAAGTTTATATGCTATATTTATAAAAGCAGAGGAAATTAACAATGCTTCAATGAATATTTTGATCAAAAGAAATGTTTTGTGGCCCTGGATATAATATCTAAATATCTTACCTCATAACTATTTATTTTTCCATTTGGATTTTTTGGCTTATCCCAGGTTAATGATACAGCAGTCACACCATCAGTAGAGGATTGGACACAATGGTAATTGGACGGTTTTGAAGAAGCTTAAATGTATCAAATATATTTTTAAACCTCTTAGTGTAAATGATGACAGTAAACACAGACTATCCTAATTATGAAAAAAGCTGTTCATAATCTTGGAAATATCATGTGAGCATGCAAATTACAGGAGAAAATATGCAAAATTTCTATCTCTGGATTATACTTCACCTGTCTTTCAACAAGTGATTTTGGCTTTCCTTTTTATTAAATCAAATAAATACATTAATAGTTGATGATTTATTCCTTGATAATTAATGCACAATAATATTCTAAATGGACCCATAATTTTAATTGTTAAACTGTGGTAATCACTATTTCAACAAGCATGAAAAATTGGGCGTATAAAAACAAAATAAATTCAAAAACAAGAACCATGATCACAGACCACAGTTATTTTTTTCAGGATAAAAATATAATTTTTTAAAAAAAGAACAGAATGTGACCTACCTGCCTCATAAGTTTTAACTTTACCAATTTTTGCAGCACTATTTGCGATATTATCAGAAGTCACAACATATACAGTCCACATATAACGGGTGTCAGGATGGAGATTTTTTATGGTATACAGAGAACTAGACACTGTTATGTTTCTACCAGAACTATTATTATCAGCTTCCCTGATATAAAAATCATGTATGTTAAGCGCTGTTTCATTCTTAATATCGGATCTGATTAGACTACTTGGTGTAGAAAATTAGGATGTTAAACCACATTTCATTTGTAATATAAAAGGAAATGTAAAGGAATGTGCCAAGTTGATTGTCAACACAATAATTCTTCATCCACAATGCTAGGAAGGAGAATTTTGCCCATACAGTGGCATTTAATTTTGAATTTCAACTTTTTACATTCATGACAATGTATACACTACCATCTAAATGACAAAGCAACAGTTCTAATGTTAGCATTCTAAGAGTGTCGCAAACAGTGTTAAAATGAAGTTCAAAAGAGTAGCAAGTTTAAAAGTTAGATATTTACATGTACTTACCACACAGAGACAATGTAATGTGCTACATTTGGCGGAGGAACCCATTCTATAGACAAAGAGTTTGATGTTACATTTACAAAATGTAACAATGATACCTTCTGATTGTGAGCTATAAATAATAATAACAAAGGATATTAACTCCTGATTCTCATTTTACTAACAATCTTGAAGACTATTCAATTAATCAGCCCAGTCTCTAACTCAATATTATCCAAAATCTTCGACATTGAAAACACAAATTATTTGTCAATTTAAATCTACATTGATGTTGTGATCTTACCGGGAAAAGATGGGCTTCTAATATCCAATATTTAAGACAAAATAAACATTTTACCATTGGTACACGAATCGTGTTCTATAATGCGTTTCAGTGCCATTTGTAACAAGTCACTCGAAGAATGAGGCTAGACATATTTCACAAGTCATGTCAAACGGTGACCCCATATTCTTATCTGGGGAGCATGCGCAATAAACACTATCAGTGTAGACTGGAATAATCAGATGCTAGAGATTGCCATTTGATTGACACTTCTGGCATATTTCACCGAACATAACTGATTTGAAATTAGAGTAAAAATGGAAACGATTAAATGTAATTCTGTTTTTATACATTCATATTACAATATTATATGCATTGCGAGCCATTTGTGTCAATTTCTAGGTCCCAAATATTAGCGATTTAGCTCCTTTAATATATATCTTTGCATATCTTTGACACTGTGTGGTAGACAATTATGTCAGTTACATCTGTAAACAAAATCTCTCCCGACAAAAAGATCTCTTTTAGAGGCATTTAATAACTGAATAGAGCAATAAACTATAACACAAGCTTATGGAAGAACAATTACTGATCTATTTGGTCGACGTTTCAAAGAGTATTCTCTCAAGTTTTCAAGCAAGTACTTGTTCTTCCATAAGTATGTGTTATAATTTATTAATGATGTGCTAATAAAGTATCTCAGATTTCAGTCAGTAAATCATGTGCCAACTTGTTTCATTTATATTCTTAGAGGACAATGTTAACACACAACAAAATGTTTAATTAATGACAAAAAGATCTAAAATTTCTAGGAACAGAATCCAAAGTGGAAAAGGAAGTGAAGGAAGCTACTTACTTAGACATCTTGGTAATTCTTCATCACTGCCGTCTGGACATTGTCTGATGTTATCACATGTATAAGGCCATAATATACACATGTCCAGACAACTATAGTACACTTTTGGATCACATATATTTGGTTTTTGACTACTTGTTGCTGTAATAATCCATCAATAAAATATATTTACTTGAAATGGCCAACCCACTTTGATTAGGGTCAAAAACTTGGTTATGTGTGCAATACTAGAGAGAGAGAGAAATGGGGTTTAACGTCCACTCAACACAAACTACGTCATTTCAGGACTAACATATGGTTCAATTTTATTTCTTTAGCAGTGGGAGGAAACCGGAGGACCCGGAGAAAACCCACAAGGTTGGACAGGTGACCCTACTCCTTGTCTCGTACAACCGAGGATTCGAAACCACCCCAGTTGACTCAATGATACAGCACGCACGTGCTAACCATTCAGTCACCCACCCCCGTGCAATACGAGGAGAAGCATTTGGACTATACATATTGATATAAAACCTCAGATCAAACCAATTCAATACTTTATTTCAACCCATATCAATTATGTTTAGCTCCTTCAAATTACAAAATATTTTTGGGTTTGGAAATATTGCCACATTTAATTTTTCTACAGAGATGGTATATAAGATTATTTCAATATTTTACCTGGCGTTGTGTGTCCAGGACAGTTGTGCTCATCACTTCCATCAGCACATTGTGCAATACCATCACATTTCAGTGTTTTATAAAGACACCCTTCACTGTATTGACATGAAAAAACATCTGAACCAACACAAGGAGTTGTATCTGCAAAAATTTCAAAGACAAATAAAATGAAATGAAATGGGGTTTTAACATCTTCCTGTTCTGCTCCAACTAGACTAATGAAGACGGAAATTTCAAAGACAACAATCGTTAATTAAAGACCCTTTTAAAGCAATTGTATGACTTTTATCATAGAAGACATGATGGTTTTATAAAGTTCCATTAGGCCTCTAAACAAGATTTAACAATTGTTGTTGTTCTTAGAGTAAAAATAAACAAATTTTAAAAAATATGCTCCCTGAGAACTCTTGCCATTTTCTCCAGCTTCAAAACAAAAAAAAGTTTGCGAAAATCAGATTCAAGATAGGGGCTGAAAATCAATTTCAAGCGTTTTTGCAAAAAATCAAATAAGGTGGACAAACAGTTAAAAATATTATTGAACAAGGTCTCTAAAAAAGGAAAGATAATATTTTGGACTAAAATCACAATATGTTATTTTCATTCTATTTTCAAAATGAAGAGACAAATTCATGTCAAAAATGAAAACTTGACGAAAATCTGCTGAAAAATATGGACAATCTATGTTCATGTATATTAAGTAAATAATTCCACAGAGACCAACACAATCTATGATGGCAGAATGTTTGCACCATGCACAGCTTTGGCAGCAACTACTGACTAAAATTAACCAAAAAAAAAATAACAAATTTTTTTTGAAAACAAAATGTGTTTCGGTACTTTTGTTAATTAGTTTTCTTACATACAAAGTAAACTAAATATTCAAATATATACTAACCTTCACAGTTGCTTTCATCTTCACCATGAGGGCAATCTTTGTCTCCGTCACATATCCACGATTCCCAAACACAATGACGTTCCGATGAGGAAGATTGGTTACAATGATACTGGTATTTTTGACAAGTCATAGCTGGATAATAGATAAAGTAAACATAAGTGTAATATAAAAGATGCATTATCACTTTCACCAAGAAAAATAAATATAATTAATTTAATATAATACATAATACAAAACTTAGGATCACCTATTATTGAAAATGTAAACAAGAAACAGTTAAAACTCCTCAAAAACCACACAATTTTGATAACTCCCAGAAAGTATATGCGTTCAATTCTATGCAGTATTTACAAAGATACAATGACTTGAATATTTCTCAACATTCATCAACCTCTGTAGAAGATATAAATAAGCCAGCCCCACCTACATGTATAAGTGTCCTGTAAAAATATTTGATGGGCCTCTTTTTAACCAAATAAGTTGATATTTTGTTATTGTTTTCATACTGTTAATTATTGTTCAAAAAATGCAAATGACAATGAAAATTTAAATGTCTCCATCACAGCAATGTATAGGCAGATTGTATCTAGTTGGAACATCCCTGATGTGACTGTATCGAAAATAAACCAGCGGCTGCCAGGCAGGATACGCCCACATTTTCGAGAGATGGATAGAGAACAAGCTAACAAGAAAGTGATTTTTCCTACAATCAAGGGCCATAATTCAGGAAATTACAATTCGATATGCGCAAATATCGAAAGGAACTGAACGAACGGCAGCCATTTTGTCTGTCAATACATTTTTTTAAATCGGATAAAAATTATGACCTCTATAGGATCCACAAGCTAAAAACGCAATTTTTCGTACAATCAGGGGCCATAATTCAGGAAGTTTCGGTCCGATATGTGCGAATATCGAAAGGAACCAAGATCTTTGGGTTATAAACTTACATTTCAAGTTTGAACAAAATCGGATAAAAATTGTGACCTCTATAGGGTCCACAACGTTGATATAACATATTCTTATGCTATTCCAGAACGAACGGCGGCCATTTTGTCTGTCAATTTTGGGCCGATTTTCACGAAATTCAAACTCAGTCGTCCTTAGGGTGTAACGGTGATATAATAATACGTTTTTTTAAATCGGATAAAAATTATGACCTCTATAGGGTCCACAAGCTAAAAACGCGATTTTTCGTACAACCAGGGGCCATAATTCAGGAAATTACGGTCCGATATGCGCGAATATCGAAAGGAACTGAGATCTTTGGGTTATAAACTTACATTTCAAGTTTCAACAAAATCGGATAAAAATTGTGACCTCTATAGGGTCCACAACCTTGATATACCATTTTCTTAAGCTATTTGAGAACGAACGGTGGCCATATTGTCTATCAATTTTGGGCCGATTTTCACGAAATTCGAATTCAGTCCTCCCTAGTGTGTAACGGTGATATAATAATACGTTTTTTTAAATCGGGTAAAAATTATGACTTCTATAGGGTCCACAAGCTAAAAACGTGATTTTTCGTACAATCAGGGGCCATAATTCAGGAAGTTACGGTCCGATATGCACGAATATCGAAAGGAACCGAGATCTTTGGGTTATAAACTTAAATTTCAAGTTTCAACAAAATCGGATAAAAATTGTGACCCCTATAGGGACCACAACCTTGATATACCATATTCTTACGCTATTTGGGAACGAATGGTGGCCATTTTGTCTGTCAATTTTGGGCAAATTTTCACGAATTTCAAACTCATTCATCCTTAGGGTGTAACGGTGATATAATAGAACGGTTTTTTAAATCGGATAAAAATTATGACTTCTATAGGGTCCACAAGCTAAAAACGTGATTTTTCGTACAATCATGGGCCATAATTCAGGAAGTTACGGTCCAATATGCACGAATATCGAAAGGAACCGAGATCTTTGGGTTATAAACTTACATTTCAAGTTTCAACAAAATCGGATAAAAATTGTGACCTCTATAGGGTCCACAACCTTGATATACCATATTCTTACGCTATTTGGGAACGAACGGCAGCCATTTTGTCTGTCAATTTTGGGCCGATTTTCACGAAATTCGAACTCAGTCATCCTTAGGGTGTAACGGTGATATAATAGAACGTTTTTTTAAATCAGATAAAAATTATGACTTCTATAGGGTCCACAAGCTAAAAACGTGATTTTTCGTACAATCAGGGGCCATAATTCAGGAAGTTACTGTCCGATATGCGCGAATATCGAAAGGAACTGAGATCTTTGGGTTATAAACTTACATTTCAAGTTTCAAGAAAATCGGATCAAAATTGTGACCTCTATAGGGTCCACAAGCTAAAAACGTGATTTTTCGTACAAACAGGGGCCATAATCCATGAAGTTTCAATCCGATACATGCCAATATCGAAAGCAGCCGAGATCTTTTGGGGATAAACCTATATTTCATGTTTCGTCGAAATCGGATAAGAATTGTGACCTGTAGAGAGTCCACAAACAATTGTGGACGGACGGACAGGGGCGACGGCATAATACGTCCACATGAAAATGTGGGCGTATAAAAATTAATGGCAAAAAGCATATCTGTCAAAACAGGATATTCAGAATAACTGTAGACTCAACAAATCATCGAAAATACAAGCATTGATCTACACTACTGAGATTAAGGTATTTTCATCAATGCCTTGAAAACCACAGACAAATTTGAATGGCTCATAGTCATATTGAAAGTTAAAACATATATAATATCTAATAAGATGGATTGACAATTTTGTCTCGAATATTGCAATCTATTTTGAAGTTAAAGTTTTTTCTTTAACCGAGTCATCGAACCATGTGAATTGAACTAAAAAAAAAAAATTTTTAATCTTAGTGACGGCTTAGCGGTTTTGTCTCAAAGTTGTCATTCAAACTATTTTAATCATGTAACTAGGTCTCCATCAATGCCTTGTTACCAATTTTAAGAATAAGAATACAAATTGACATAATGGATATTGACTACCCTGGTTCCTTGGCCAAAACTGAAGAGCATCCCATACAAGGACATCCCGAAACCAGTGAAAACTAATGTTCCTGAGACTAGCTCAATATGACCAAGTAATGTGAATATCTCTATGTATTGTAGGACTGCATACTAGTTCTTGGGGACAGTTTCAGGCATTGTAAGTAGGACTATTGTTGTCCGGATTTAGGCCTTCCAGGTTCCAAATAATAATAAAATATTCTTACTGCATTCAAATTCATCAGAGTTGTCACTGCAATCATCAATACCATTACATCTTTGTGACGAGTGTAAACATTGACCATTACGACACACAAATTCATCATTAAAGCAATCATGCCCAGGTGTTGTAATCGGTAATGATGTAGTAGAAATCAGACCTGTAATAGTAAACATATTTAATATTGTCAATTTTTGTGAATCTAGAAATGTAGACAGGGCTTGTCCAACCCTTTTCACCGGCAAGTATCAAAGTTGTCCATGCTTAATCTAATATAATTGTCAAGAAATCGCAAAATGGAAGGTGTTCTTTTAAAAATCTATTATCAAGTTTTATTAATAAAGTAGCTCTTGACCATAATAAATGGAAAAATCAAGGACCAATGTTTCACTGGGAATGGAAAGGACTAAAGAAAAAAGATGATATAAATGCAGTTTGAGCAATAGAGTCCTTCATTCATCCATGACCACTTTCAATAGACGTCTGTTATTTTAAAAATGGTTCAGATGTAGTTCTCAACAAAATATAGGACCAAATCAATAAAGAAAACAAGTTCTAAGAATAAAACACTCAATCAGAAATATGGGCAACACACTTGATCAGAAATGGAGTTTTGTTACAGTCCTACCAGTCCCAATGACAGAAAGTGTGTGGGTAAAACCAGCGGCTGCCAGGCAGGATACGTCCACATTTTGCAAGAGATGGATAGAGAACAAGCTAAATACAAAAATGATTTTTTGTACAATCAGGGGCCATAATTCAGAAAGTTATGGTCTGAAATGCACAAATATCAAAAGGGGCTGAGATTTTTGAAATATAAAGATATGTTTTAAGTTTCATCAAAATTGGATAAAAATTGTGACCTCTAGAGAGTCCAAACCTTTGAATTACATACTTGATGGGTAGTTTCATTTCGATTTTCCCGAAATTCCAATTCAACCTTCATTATGGTGGAATGGTGATCTAAACGTTTTTTAAAATCGAAAAAAAAATTCTGACCACTAGAGAATCCACAAGCTAAAAATGCAATTTTTCGACCAATCAGGGGCCATAATCCAGGATGTTACGATCCGATATGCACGAATATCGAAAGGAACCAAGATCTTTGGGTTATAAACATACATTTCAAGTTTCATCAAAATTGTGACCTCTAGAGTTTCCACAAGCTAAAAACACGATTTTTCGTACAATCAGGGGCTATAATTCACGAAGTTGCAATCCAATATGCGCGAATATCAAAAGCAACCAAGATCTTTGGGTTATAAACATGCATTTCAAGTTTCATCAAAATTGGCACAAAATTGTGACCTCCAGAGGGTCCACAACCTTGATATACCAGATGTTTACACTATTTGCGTACGAGGGGCGGCCATTTTGTCTGGCAGTTTTGGTCCGATTTTCACGAAATTCGAACTCAACCTTCATTACGGTGTAACGGTGATATAATCAAACGTTTTTTTTAAATCGGATAATAATTGTGACCTCCAAAGGGATCACAAGCCAAAAACGTGATTTTTCGTACAATCAGGGGCCATAATTCAGGAAGTTACAATCCGATATGCGTAAATATCGAGAGAAACCAAGATCTTTGGGTTATAAACATGCATTTTAAGTTTCATCAAAATCGGATCAAAATTGTGACCTCTAGAGTGTCCACAAGCTAAAAACGTGATTTTTCGTACAATCAGGGGCTATAATCCAGGGTCCTATACATGCCAATATCAAAAGGAACTAAGATCTTAGGGAGATAAACCTATATTTCAAGTTTCGTTGAAATCGGATAAAAATTGTGTCCTGACGGAAGGACAAACAGGGACGACGGCATAATACGTTCACATGAAAATGTGGGCTTATAAAAATGATGTAATCAAACAACAAATGTGACCCATGCTGGCAAAATGAATCAGATGCGCAAATACTAAAAATGAGATACAGAACAACAAGTGTAAATATTGATTTTGATCGAAATTGAGATTTTTACAAAAATTAGTATATAAATATACTACCTATCGACCCAAAAGATCAATATAGCAATAAAACATTTTAAAACATCTTTATTTGGGTGTTTTGTAAGAGTACCGAATTCATAAATCTGTTTTTTCTTTTAACATTCTCAGTGAAATTAGTTACTTTTCTCCGCTCGCAGTGGGATGACAGGTCAACCATCTTACACAATACTTGGCATCGTTGTAAAGCGGTGAATCTCTAGTTTATAAATATGATCAAAGTATTGCTGATGAATTCATTGTGAATGAATACAAACAAGTTTTAAACCCCCTACAAAACATAAACAAACCCAGCTTGTTGCTATGCATTCCATATAATTTGTTTGCTGATTGGCCCAGACACTCCCGTTCAAAGAATTATGGTATCATGGCTGTCTCGAGGCTCAAGCTGGCGATAGAAATTTGATTTGGGCGATAATGAGAAGTGGCAGAGAAAAAAACTTTAAAATTCTGATCGTGTCTAGAATGCCGTTGAATGTTAACAAACACCACATGGCAGCATACCGCTAATGTAAATTAATCATCAAGCGGATCATGTCATGGAGATTTAAAGTAATTATTTTGAAGGCATTGAGATGTAGAATGGGAAAATACCAATAACACAATTTTCAAAATTTCCTCATTGCGACTCTGTTTGCCATCTTGGGTCACAAATATCTATCAACTGTGGTGATTGGTGGGGATGTAGCTTTATGGCCTAATATTATCAATTTCACTCTTCTGTCACACTTGCCGAACGTTCAAACGAGGCTGTGCAAGATTTATTTGTTTAGCATCTTACCACAATCTTCTTCATCAGAGTTATCCCCACAGTCGTTGATTCCATTACAAAGAGATGAATAGGAAATACAGAACGAATTATTACATCTCCACTCACTGCATGTTCTTGGTTTAGTTGAAGTTTGTGGTGGTATGGTTGTCATTGCTGAAAATAATATTGAGTTCAGCATTACTTAAAAGATACATTATGGACGTCATTCAAATATATATAATGAGAAATAGATATATTGAAAATTTCAGTCAAATTACTTTATTCTGAGCGTATTTATGAGTGGATCAATTTGACTGAAATTTTCAGAAAGTTCCATTTACATTATCTAGTTTTTAACTATTATAGTGAGAACTGCCAGCTCTTTATCTAATCTCCCATAATGTATCTTTAATATTCTTCAAATTAAATTAATCAAGAATTTGCGCAAAATAGAAATAAATATTAGCAAAAGAACACTTACTGCAATTTTCTTCATCACTGCTATCTGTGCAATCTTCCTCTGAATCACAAACCCACGTTCGAAATATGCATTGACGTCCAGAAGTACATTTATATTTCCATGGACTGCAACTAATGTTTCCACAATCAGTTTCATCACTGCTGTCATCACAATCTGCTATTCCATCACATCGTTGATTGTTATTAACACATTGACCACTGCTACAGTTGAATTCCAATGACCGGCATCTGTCTAAATAGAAAATAATTCAATATCTGTTTATCAAAAAAACCCAACATACACAGACCATTAATGTCATAAACCAAATTTCTGGTTCATGGAATTAATGTGACCTGAACTGAAGATAGTAGCCATAGATATGTACTGAATACCATCTGCCATTGCTAATAACTGTATTTTCTGTAGGCTTAACACTGGTTATGAGATAAAAACATCAGAGTTCAAAAATATATTTGGCGATGAATAAATCCAATGAAAAATATCTGATATTAATTATGCATTCTGCAAGAGCTAATCTGCCTATTGCAGGTCTTTCTTTAGGCCTCAAATCATCTAAATTATTAATAAACATTTATTAACATGACAAGACCATAATCAACTCTAGATGCCATCTGATGGGTACGATTTTAAACAGATTTGAATCCAATCTGCGATTCAATGGCTGTTCATGATTAACACTAAAAAGGGATAACCAAGACTTTGTTTATTATCATAACAACGGTAGTAATGACCATCAAGGCTAGCCTAAAATATATTTGCTAATATCTAGGTTCAGAGTGAAGCAATTTGACAGAAATTTTCAGCATATTCTCTTTACATTATCTATTTATTAAACATGCATTATGCAAGAGCTAAATCTGCCTATTGCAGGTCTTTCTTTAGGCCTGAAATGTATTCTAAAGTATTAATTAGACATTAATTAACTAATCCAGGCCTTAATCAACTCTCGATGGCATCAGATTTCTCCGATATTAAATAGATTAGAATGGTTCAGCGATACTTTGATTTAATCAAATATGGAGGACCGAGACTTAGCTTCGATCAACCAGTACGGTGGTTGAAATCATTGCACACGTCTGTCAAACCTTCAAAGGCTAATATCTTCGCTTGCAATAGAGTAATTTGAATGAAAGTTTCAAATTATTCATTTTACATCATCTACTTTCGAAATATTATAGTAAGAATGGCTAGTTTTTTATCTAAATCTTACATAATGTATCTTTTAACTATTATAGCGAGAAGTGTCAGCCCTTTATCTGATTCTCAATAATAACCCTTTAATATTATAGTATAAGCAAAGTCTGAGGTCCAGGTTATCTTTAAGGATTTGATGATATATTTGGACTAAAAGCTTATTAAAACTAATTAATCTATCAAAAGTGTGTTTCAAATCCCTCACAAGAAACTTCGCAAAGCAGTAGAAATCTATTACAAGCAGCCTTAATTGTCACATGACTTGGTTTATGGAAGGCCCACTTTTAGCTTGTAATTGTTATTATTTTATTTACCATATATATGAAATAACTACACTATAAATACTTTTGTGGGAATGCATCTTTAATGGAAAATATTTATTATATTCTTACTTTCATAAACACATGATGTTTCATCAGATCCATCGTGACAATCGTCATCATAGTCACATCTCCAAGATTTTAAAATACAACGCCCATTACTACACCGGAACTGACTGTCTGTGCAATTAGGATAAACTGAAAATATACCACATGTATTCATATTTACAAAGAAGAATAAAACAAGGAAATGCTGAAAATTTAGTGATCAGATTGTGCAAAAAATTCTCCAAAATAAACTGTAACACAGTTTAGAAATCAATCGGATGATAACTTTAGCCTAAGTATCCAGAAGAATTTTTAACAATGGTTAATTATTTGAAATTGTTGGAAAACACTGTGTATATATTTCAAGTGCATCAAATCATACGTTTAGCTTCTGGAGCAACAAAAAGAAATATGGGACCATATTATTCAATCAAGATGTGCATCTTTGGAATGAAAAAAGTTCTCAGAGCCTTTGACTCATAATAACCAGTTTTATTTACTGAAGTATATCTGGGATTTCTCATTTCAATCTAACATTTTTACCATCGACTTTCATCAGAAAAGCAGTAAGGGAGTAGTTTTTTTACACACTGGAATAATTTGGACAGCATTTTTGTATAATTGAAATGAAATGGGATTTAGCGTCTTCTGTTACAACTGGGCTAGTGAAGACGGGCATATGCCATACAGTGTGCTATGAGGAAAATTTTTCCCACCCTCGGCGCTACGGCCTACTCTTATATCCAATTGACAAGGGATCTTTTAGGTGCACTCCAATGTGTCCACAAGAACTCAGTTTTTTGTACTATTCAAACGACTAGACAGCTGTCCTTGTCAGGCCCTTTGTCCTGCACCAGTGATGAGGGGAAACCACGCCAGAAATCCAGATGAACTTTCTCAGCCAACATCATGATAAAATCTGTGACCTACAGGCTAGCGAGCCAGCATCTTACTCACTTAACCACTGTGCCTCCCTTACTTGTATAAAATACAGTATACTACTATACTTACTTCTAGTACAGTTCGCTTCATCAGAATTGTCATTACAATCATCTTCATAATCACAATGCCAATGTCTAGGTATACATCGTCCACTTGCACAAGTGAACTGATCATGACTACATGTAGAATAAGCTGTAATATTATAAGCATTGTGTTGTAATACAAAAGTAAATACCATGCAGTGAATATGCTAATACATATACAGTCAATCCAGCAAATTAACAAGGGAAAGGACTAAATTGGTCAGTTCCTGGAGTCACTCTCTTAATATACTATTCAAAAAAAGTAGGGGATATTTGATTTTGGGGGCATAATACTAAAATATGCAAATGACTACGAAAAAAGTCACTATAGAACCTAACAGAAGAAACATTTCAAGTTACATGTGACGCCCAAACGCACCAATAGCTACCGCATGGAATGCATGTGATGCTTGGGATCATCATGGGGGTCCAACCCAAGATTTGCACGACTCTGACTTTGAATGTTACAGTCATTGTGGCATTGAATTCCAGGGTGGAAACATCAGTTTAATTGTTTTAGTGACCAGAAAACAAATTTTGATATGCGTGGGCTTACCCAAAATGAAAGGTTACGTGCCCTTGGCATGCTACAGATCGGCACAACACAGGCGGTTGTGGCGCGGACGATGAATGTTTCTCAGTCTGTCATAAGCAGGCTATGGTCCAGATACCGTGATACACAATCTGTACAGGACAGACCACGCTCAGGTCGACCAAGGGCGACAACTCAAGCCCAGGATCGATTTATCCGTACCTTGGCCTTGAGAAATCGTGTCATCACAGCAAATCAGATCAGCGCTCGTCTTCAAACAGACACTGGTGTGAGAGTGAGTGGCCAGACGATTCGGAATCGACTGCATAGGGGTCACCTTCGCGCACGACGTCCTCGCGTGATCCCTTGTTTGAGAGATCATCACATTCAGGCAAGACGTCGTTGGTGTAGGGATCGTCAACACTGGGATAATCGACGCTGGAGCAATGTGATGTTTTCAGATGAGTCAAGGTTCACTGTTGATTTTTTGGACAGACGTAGGAGGGTGTGGCATCGTCGAAACGAGCGCTTCCAAGACGTTAACGTCATCAGACATGATCGATTTGGGGGTGGTTCTGTTATGGTGTGGGGAGGCATCACTGTTGCTGAAAGAACGGCTTTACATGTTGTTGCAGGGCGTGTTACAGGCCAGTACTACCGGGACAACATCTTGGCAGTCCATGTTGTGCCGTTCGCACGACGTCATGGCCGCCGTTTTATCTTCCAGGATGACAACGCAAGATGTCACAGGGCCAGGATCGTTACAGGTTACCTCCAACAACAGAACATCACCACATTACCTTGGCCAGCACTGAGTCCCGACCTCTCCCCCATCGAGCATGTCTGGGACATGCTTGGACAGAGGTTACGTCAACGTCAACAACGTCCTGCCAATGTCCAAGAACTTGCTGCTGCGTTGCAACAGGAATGGGACAATCTGGACCAAAATGACCTTAGACGTCTCATTAGGAGTATGCCACGTCGGATCAATGCTTGTTTGGCAAACAGAGGAGGATTTACCCGTTACTGACTTGGTTGTGATGCTGTGGTAACTTTGCTGTTTGACCCCGGGTATCATTTTACCCTTATAATGGTCAGTCTGTGCCTTACTTAGTCTAACGATCATTTGGAATAAATCGATGAATGTGAACTTCATTTCATTTTGTCATTTGTTTCCTCGTCAGTTTCATTAGGTGACTTTAATAACACTTAAAAATCAAATATCCCCTACTTTTTTTGAATAGTATATTATATAGTTGATTTAGGATTATTCACAAAACATTTATTTTTACTTACGACAATCCTTTTCATCTGTATCATCTCCGCAATCGTTGTCATGGTCACATTTCCATGTTAATGGTATACACAGTGAATTACTACAAGTCAACTGATTTGCAGAACATGTAGTACCTAAATATATTTTTAAAAAAAAATAAATCCTCATTATCTTATTCTAAAAACAGTGAAAAATACTGGTTGTATTTACTTACTGTACCTGAACATCATTTGAGGGATTGTTAATCCCTTACAAACTTGTGAAAGTTGAATCACTAAAAGAAATATGGGTCTAAAATTATACTTCAATTCCATTCAGTATTGAAAATTTGTCAACATTCAACTTCCACTGCAGATCATATATAGTCAAAACAAGCTAGCGCCACCTATACGTTTCACTGAATCTTTTAATGGCCTCTTTCTAATCCAATTGAATTCAAGCTGGGAGATTATCCAACATTGACGTTTTAATCATTAGCATAAAGTACAACCGTATTTTGATGACGTAAATTTAAGTTGGGGCTTTAATAAAGAAGAAAACTTAATATTACCATTATTATCGACACAGGTCCCATTACGAAAACTTTTATTCCCATCACAAAAGCATGTCTCATCTCCAGTACTTGGGTTGAGGGAATGACGATAGTCAGTGCCACATTTACATGTTCTATTTAAACTGCCAGTTAGTGTAGGATGGGGTCGGGGTAAACATAGTTGGGAACACCCTCTATTACCAGGACTGCATGCTCCCTTCACTGAAAAAAATAAAATAAACTGTATAGCTGTCTTTAACCTATCATCCCAAACTATGCCAAAGTGTCACTTCAGACCAAATTTTATATGATATAGTATTTTATTGTTTCAGACAGCATGGCCTTGCTTTAATGCAAACACTAAAGATGATTAGTCAGTCATCACCATCCCTCGCACTTGCACTTGTTTGGAAGGCATAAGGAAAAACATCTTCTTGGAATATCAATGGGACTATAATCAGAAGATTCAAACTCTGGTCACAGTAGCTGGGCAAGGCAGGATCGCTACTCCATATAAGGTTTGCACAACAACCATTGCCTACCTCAATCAGCGACTGTATGTTAAACAATAAGCTTTTAAAAAATAAAATACTATAATAGGTTAATGTTTGTACAATGTTTCAAAAAGATTTCTTGAACGAAGGATGAAATATTCTCTGGAAACGAAATCAGGACAGAAGGATGGTCATCAGAAATAAAATATTAGGTTGTTGACTGTAGAAGTGTTATAAAGGTATCTTGAACATTATAATTATATACAAAAAATTAAGTCAAATGTGAAGTCAAAATTAAAAAATACTTCAACAGAGAAATTTGTTTCGATGAAAACACAAAAATTATTAAATCCAAGAAATTTCTAATTAGCAAAAGACACAACTACTATCACAGGTTGATGTTTGTACAAAATTTCATGAAGACATCTTGAATGATTCATGAGATATGCTCCGGAAACAAAAGGAAACACAAAAACGATTAAATCCAAGAAATTCCAAATTAGCAAAAGGCACAACTACTTTAATAGGTTGATGTTTATACGAAGTTTCATAAAGATATTATGAATGGTTTATGAGATATGCTCTGGAAACAAAATTGTACACCAAAAACTAAATCAAATTTGTTTCCATGGAAACAAAAAATATAAATCCCAGAAATTTGTAAATAGCAAAGGCATTACTACTGTAATAGGTTGATGTGTGTAGTCAATGTACAAAGTTTCAAAAAGATATCTTTAACGGTTCACGATATATGCGCGGATGGTCCACAACCTTCGTATTACTTACTTTTACACAAGTGGACATTATGTTGCGCATTTTCATTTCGATTTTCCCGAAATTTGAATTCAACCTTTATTATGGTGAAATGGTGATATATTTAAACGGATTTTAAAATCAGACAAAAAATTGTTACCTCTAGAGAATCTGCAAGCTAAAACTGCGATTTTTCGAAAAATCAGGGGCCATAAATCAGGAAGTTACAATCTGATATGTGCGAATATCGAAAGGAACCAAGATCTTTGGGATATAAACATGCATTTCAAGTTTCATTAAAATCAAGTGGAAATTGTGACCTTAGAGTGTCCACAAGCTAAAAACGTGATTTTTCGTACAATCAGGGGCCATAGTCCATTAAGTTATGGTCCGATACATGTCAATATCGAAAGGAACCGAGATCTTTAGGAGATAGACCTATATTTTAAGTTTCGTCAAAATCAGATAAAAAAAGTGACCTGTAGAGTGTCCACAAACAAATTGTGGACGGACGGACTGATGTCCAGACAGACAGGGGCGACGGCATAATACGTCCACATGAAAATGTGGGTGTATAAAAAATAATCAATTTTTACCCTGTTGTGATGTATGCGAGATGATCTTCATATCAGCCACACCCTCTAGATTAGCTTTGATGGTATCTAGACCATTACCAGATGACTTGTCAGCCGTTAATACAGCCTGTTTGCCCCAATCAGTCCAATATATGTTATTCTGTAATATATCCAATCATATGATATTGTGAAAAATGTTTCCCTCAGAGAGAGGAAGAGAGAGAGTTAAACATCCTTTCAATACAACTATTTCAGGACTAATCTAAAGTGTATCTACATGCATAAATTCAATGACTTTTTAGCAGTGTAAGCAACCAAATCCACATGGCTATGCAGGTTGATCCTGCTCCTTTTGCTGGATCAAACTGGTTGCGAGCCAAAGTGACTTAGCCGGTATGACACTGGCTCACTAACTAGGTCCCGTGTTTGACCATGGTGTTGACTCAACCTCTGTATTTTCCAGGTGGTTGACCTTTTTAATTGGCATAAGACTGAGGGCCTGTGATGGACAAAAAGTCCAATGTGAACTACTCATTGGTCATATTCCTGAAGCAATGCTCCGAGAAATCCCTCTCTAGCATTGCTGGATTGACTCCTGATACTTGAGCTTTTGAGGGAGTGTGTCGATATATTGTTTACATTTTAGCCATTTAGATAGCCTTGCTTGTCAGGCAATTAGTTTTTCTGCAATATTCTGCTATGCACTGGTTAACTGGGCGGAATAAATTTCATGAGTCATGACGTAACATTATGTAAACATATCTGGAGCTCTGTTTAAACCCGAATGATATTGTTGCGCAGTTAGGTATTGGTTGTTAATCAGACCATTGACCAGTCATAATTTGAAACAAAAATTTGCTTTCTTTACAGCAGTATTAGGGGGGATTAGGTCTAATAAAATGAAACAATGCGAGGAGTATGCTCATTGGTGTGCGTAATAAACTTCTCTTGACAACTGATGAAGCATTGGCATAACCGCCGCTGAAGATTCCTCATAGTACATGCTGCATGGTATTTGCAAGTCTTCATTAGTCAAGTTGGTGTAGAAAAGTGGGACATTAAACCCCATTTCATTCACTTCAATCAGTTTGAGCAATTCATACTTTAGATGAATCAACTACCCAAATTCTCTAATACAATTTTAAATCCCTCTAAGAGTTTCCGTTGTGTAGGTTTAGTTGTAAATGGCCCCTCTAAGTTTTAATTGTATTTGATAGTTATTTTTGTTGCATATTCTGTATATATTTGCCTACTATTCACATACCTGTATCATTTACTTGATAAAGACGAGAGTATCCTCGTCGAAACTTTGCTTGGTATCAAACTCAAGTGATTGTGTATCCATAAAATTTTATCTGGTGTTAATATGTTCAATTACTAAAAGAAGACAATTTTCCGACTTTGTACTTATCCCATAACTTACTTTATAAACTCCTATGGCATAGGGATGAGGAACATAATACAAGCCTTGGACCAAGGTCTCACGATTCCCGCCATTAAAATCAGCAGACATGATTGTATGCTTTCCTGCATCTGTCCAGTAAATCTTTTCAGATTGAATATCAATCGTCAACCCATTTGGCCACTGAATTAAGCTTCCATTGACAACAGTTTTAATTGAAGTTTTAGTTCCATCCATCCAAGCTTGACAAATTCTTGGATTAACAGCTGACCAATCGGTCCAAAACATCAAACTGTAAAATAGCAACAAAATATTAAATTGATTAAATAGATATTAACAATTCATACACAAAAGTTTAACTGTTGTGGTAAATTTTTCCCTATTTTTTTCATCAATGAGTTATCACAAATATCAAGATAACCATTGATACATTGTGACTGAGAGAGTCACATTAAAAGAGAAATTGCCATTTGAATCTCCAGCCAACAGGCAAAAAAAAAGATATATCCCTCAGTCTGGTTATCTTTAAGTTGAATACGGAATGAAACCCAGGGCTGGAAAAAGGTCAGAGACTCCACTTCACTAATAATTAATTAATAAGTTGACAATGCTCATAATTTTTAATTATGATTAAAAAATGTTGAAAAACTTAAAAATTAATCAAAAGATACATACCCATGTCGAGGATTAATCGCTATGGATCTGGGACGATCAAGATGAGTCTCATTTATCAAGATACGTCTAAAATCTCCATTTCTTGTAGCTACTTCTATTGTTTTAGCCTCACTATCTACCCAATATATAGTCTTAGCTGTCCAGTCATAAACTAGAGCTTCTACTGTTTGTAGTTTAGAACTTACTATATTTGTAACAGTTCGGTTTTCATTAGCGTTTAAACACAATCTCTAGGAGAAAAAAATAAAAAAGATTTATGTAATAAATAGAGGTCAATCTTCTTTCAGACATATACAGATGGTGTTTTAAAATGCAGAAATTTTGTTGAGTAAACTATTACATGCTCTTCTTGTCCTCCTATGCAATGAGAGAGAGAGAGAGAGAGAGAGTACAGCATCCACTCAACACAAACCAGGTCATTTGGGACTAACATGGTTCAATTTTATTTCAATAATTCGCTTGCGCGTAGGCATCTTTAGCAGTGGAAGGACCCAGAGAAAACCCACGAGGTTGGACAGGCGACCCTACTCCTTGTCATATACAACCGGGGAATCAAAACCATTTGACTAAATGACAGACCTTATGATACAACGTGCACATGCTAACCATTCAGCCATCCAACCTCACTGATATGCAATAAGAATAATGAAATAAATTCCAAAACTTTAAAAAATGTGTCCACACGAAAATGTGGGGTATATAAAAATTTAACTGAGAACTTTGTCCTGTATCACAAAGTATAATTAATTTCTAAAAACATGTTGGGATTGTTTATTCAAATCTTATCGAATATCAACATTTTTCGATCGTAATTATAAAATATATTTTACTGCTTTAACTTTCCGGTCATACTTTGTCTCTGGCAGCTTGTAAATACAATCCAAGGTGCAGACCTCAATAGAAATGTTCAAAATTTGTGGTATGGAACATTTGACCATAAAGAGGACTCATGTCAAAATTCTCAATTTTTCAAAATGCAGTTCTGGAGTTATCTGCATTGCAATGGCTTGTTCAACAGTTTTCCAAATATAATGTAACCAAACATGTGTCAATCATCACAATTTACTTCTCATTTTAAAATGAATTCTATACTAACTCTATTAAAACTTGCCAACCAATTAAAATATTTACTTTAATCTTATCTTCAGTGATGTCTGCCCAATATACACAATTATCATGATAATCAAATTCTACAGCTGTTACATCCATCAGTCCTGCGTTGACTAGTATCTCATTATGACTATCATCTAATGTTATACGACCAATCGCCTGTCTTGTAGTATACAGAATAAACTCTTGTCTTTCTACAATCAAAACAAATAAATTGTTCACATCTCTGTCAAGGCAGAAACAAAGGTTATATAAATATAGACTTGGCTAATTTTAAAAGCCAAGAGCATAGTGGATGCATTAATACCATTTTAATTTAGAGAAAAAATCATAGGCACTGAAAGTAATTCTCTGTAATAATATACTATTCAAAAAAAGTAGGGGATATTTGATTTTTAAGTGTTATTAAAGTCACCTAATGAAACTGACGAAGAAACAAATGACAAAATTAAATGAAGTTCACATTCATCGATTTATTCCAAATGACAAAATTAAATGAAGTTCACATTCATCGATTTATTCCAAATGATCGTTAGACTAAGTAAGGCACAGACTGACCATTATAAGGGTAAAATGATACCCGGGGTCAAACAGCAAAGTTACCACAGCATCACAACCAAGTCAGTAACGGGTAAATCCTCCTCTGTTTGCCAAACAAGCATTGATCCGACGTGGCATACTCCTAATGAGACGTCTAAGGTCATTTTGGTCCAGATTGTCCCATTCCTGTTGCAACGCAGCAGCAAGTTCTTGGACATTGGCAGGACGTTGTTGACGTTGACGTAACCTCTGTCCAAGCATGTCTCAGATATGCTCGATGGGGGAGAGGTCGGGACTCAGTGCTGGCCAAGGTAATGTGGTGATGTTCTGTTGTTGGAGGTAACCTGTAACGATCCTGGCCCTGTGACATCTTGCGTTGTCATCCTGGAAGATGAAACGGCGGCCATGACGTCGTGCGAACGGCACAACATGGACTGCCAAGATGTTGTCCCGGTAGTACTGGCCTGTAACACGCCCTGCAACAACATGTAAAGCCGTTCTTCCAGCAACAGTGATGCCTCCCCACACCATAACAGAACCACCCCCAAATCGATCATGTCTGATGACGTTAACGTCTTGGAAGCGCTCGTTTCGACGACGCCACACCCTCCTACGTCTGTCCAAAAAATCAACAGTGAACCTTGACTCATCTGAAAACATCACATTGCTCCAGCGTCGATTATCCCAGTGTTGACGATCCCTACACCAACGACGTCTTGCCTGAATGTGATGATCTCTCAAACAAGGGATCACGCGAGGACGTCGGTCGCGAAGGTGACCCCTATGCAGTCGATTCCGAATCGTCTGGCCACTCACTCTCACACCAGTGTCTGTTTGAAGACGAGCGCTGATCTGATTTGCTGTGATGACACGATTTCTCAAGGCCAAGGTACGGATAAATCGATCCTGGGCTTGAGTTGTCGCCCTTGGTCGACCTGAGCGTGGTCTGTCCTGTACAGATTGTGTATCACGGTATCTGGACCATAGCCTGCTTATGACAGACTGAGAAACATTCATCGTCCGCGCCACAACCGCCTGTGTTGTGCCGATCTGTAGCATGCCAAGGGCACGTAACCTTTCATTTTGGGTAAGCCGACGCATATCAAAATTTGTTTTCTGGTCACTAAAACAATTAAACTGATGTTTCCACCCTGGAATTCAATGCCACAATGACTGTAACATTCAAAGTCAGAGTCGTGCAAATCTTGGGTTGGACCCCCATGATGATCCCAAGCATCACCTACATTCCATGCGGTAGCTATTGGTGCGTTTGGGCGTCACATGTAACTGGAAATGTTTCTTCTGTTAGATTCTATAGTGACTTTTTTCGTAGTCATTTGCATATTTTAGTATTATGCCCCCAAAATCAAATATCCCCTACTTTTTTTGAATAGTATATGTTAAAGGAATAGAATAATGCTATCTCCGATTAAACAGGAATATGACATGGGACATATCTACTTGAAACCAAATGTTTCTTACTGTTTGTGTGAAATAGCTTTATTTAATGTCTGGCTCCACAATTAAGTGAAACGCAGACACAATAAAAGCTACATAACCTTTATAATTAGGAATATAAAGTAGGGAGGCAGGGCTCTGAATCGACACCCAATATACACAAGTACTTTTAAAGAAAGAAACCAGTATGAAACCAGTTGAGAGAACTCCTTAGAGAACTTATAGAGAAATGTTACAATACCTCTGATGGGACAGGAATATTGTAAGGGGGAATATCTATGTGCTTCTCCTCCTTCACAAGTATCACCAGCCACTCTTCGATATCTATAATCAAAAATAAAGCCCCAATATCATGGTTTTCTAATGTCCTTTTTCTACACTTATTTTTTGAAAAGAAGTTATTTGTTCGCCCGTGGTACAAATTAAGATCCTTTTGAAAAATGTCCTTTTGAATAGAGAACTAATTGAATAATGTCATCTTGAAAATCAGAGAACTTGCATGTCTTCTGTCATTAAGAAGAAAATTCCACGCACTAAAATAAAATCCATAATCTTCACCTCAACAATAAAACTATACATACCCTCTTGTGTAAGGGTAGTAAGTACCCTCCGGACAATTAGTAGGAATTTGATTACCACCAGCTGTTCCGTCCACAATACATACACCATTCTGATCTTTGAAACCAACATCACTGTTCCAAAAAAACAATTTTTATTATAAATTATAGTTATTTAAAAATATCTAGTTATACAAAATGTATTACAGAACTCAATTATATAAAAAAAAAATAACGTAGAGTAGTGGAATGGGGTTGGTTGGAGTTTATGCTAATAGAAATAAGTTTGGTCATTTTGAGACTTGAGGACTGAATTGCATTAATTTATTGAGCAGTGATGCTACAAATAATTTTCAAAAAAACTCTTGTCTGTAAAGCAATTAAATACTTTCAATTTCAAGTGCAATAACTCAGGAAACACATGATATGCAACTATGAATCTAGATACGATTCATGCCTACAAATAGTCGAATAAACAAAGCTAATTCGAAATAAATCCAGAAATCTCAAATACTCTATGGTCTGTTGTGTTATTACAAGAAATTAGACAAACACTCAGGCCAATGACAATAGAGAACATTCATTACCCCCCCCCCCCCCCCAAAAAAAAGAATATAAATATCTAATTTATTTTGTAACATCTTATACAAGATTACCATTCAAAATCTTCTCTTGTACAAGAACAATTCAATTCCTTCTTATCTCGAACATAGTCTTGACCATTAAAACATCTAGCGTGTGGTATTCTTCGTTCATATTCTATCTTTCTACCCAATAAACATCCATGATTGTCTTTATCTGGTAGAGACCAGTCCTTATAATCTATATCTTGACACATTACACCTTCTATACAACAGAATTAACAATATAAACTTGATAACAACAGCAACCAAGCAGTTGTCATGCAAGATACGCCCACATTTGCAAGAGATGGACAGAGAACAAGTTAAAAAAAAGAAGCGATTTTTCGTACAATCGGGGGGCTATAATCCAGGAAGTTACAGTCTGATATGCGCAAACAGCGAAATGAACCAAGATCTTTGCTATATAAACATACATATCAAGTTTCAAGTAGCAGCCATTTTTTCAGGCATTTTCACAAAATTCAAACTCAACCATCATTAGGGTGTAACGGTGATATGTATAAATGGTTTTATAAATCAGATAAAAATTGTAACCTCTGGAGGATCCACAAGCCGAAAAAAGTGATTTTTTTTTTGTTGTTGACAATCTGTGGACAAAATCCAGGAAATTAAGGTCCGATATGCACGAATATTGAAAGGAAATTAGATCTTTGGGTTATAAACATACATTTCAGAGAGAGAGAGAGAGAGAGAGAGAGAGAGAAATGGGGTTTAACGTCCAGTCGACACAGACAAGGTCATTTTGGGACTAACATATGGTTACTTTTATTTCAATAATCCACTTGCGTATAAGGGTCTTTAGCAGTGGGAGGAAACCGGAGGACCCGGAGAAAACCCACGAGGTTGGACAGGCGCGACAACAATATACATCCAGATAAAAATGTGGGTGTATAAAAACAGAGCTTGAACTTACTGAAGATTGATGTAACATTAAGCTGTACTATCAACCAACTATGACGTTCTGTGTGAGAACCAAATATAGAAAATATACTAGTTGTCTCCCCTGGTTCTGTTAACAAACCATAAATTATGATTTTATCTTTTTCTTCTACAAATTTGTATGTATCCCATGTCATGCCTTCATCTGTAGAATAGCTGAAAACAAACACAAACATTATGTATATGATTAATATTCCATTTTGAAAGACGAAGCGGAAGTCAGTTTGTTCACTAATTTTGAAGAAAGATAGATTGTCCTGCAACCAAAAATATCAACACATATATTATATAAATACAATGAAATCAATATTTTTATTTTTTACCCAGATAAAAGAAGAGGTACTACTTTAAAAAGATTACACTTTATCATGTGTCAGTTATCATAATTAATTGGCTTAAAGATACATTATGTAAGATTTATATAAAGAGCTAGCCATTCATGCTATAATAGTTTGAAAATAGATAATGTAAAATGAATAATTTGAAAATTTCATTCAAATTACTCTATTGCGAGCGAAGATATTAGCCTTTGAAGGTTTGACAGGATGTGTGCAATAATTTCAACCACCGTACTGGTTGTTCGAAGCTAAGTCTCGCTCCGCCATTTCAGCTTAAATCAAAATATGGCTGAACTGTTCTAATTTATTTAATATCGGAGAAATCCGATGCCATCGTGACTTGATTATGGCCTGGATGAGTTAATTGATGTCTAATTAGAAAACAATTTAGAAAACATTTCAGGCCTAAAGAAAGACTTGCAATAGGCAGATTTAGCTCTTGCATAATGTATGTTTAATGATTTATCTTCTCTGCGAATGTATATGCACTTATTGTTTTTTGTCCCATCCAAATGTCAAGGTACACTTTTGTTGTCGGTTACGCATGCACCACCCTGGCTCACCCCTAACAAGTGAGAATTAGGACGGAAAAATCCTGAAGGTTCCTCTCAGTCTACAACAGAATTTGAATCCTGGACATGTATAGTGTTCCAGCTGAGCCCAACATAAACTTTATACTTACTAAACTTTATTGGTTATTTCATACTGTGGTACAGCCACAATAATACCACCATGATCACCAAACGAATACATAAAAATACCATCTAATACCTGTAAATATACATAGTTTACTAGTTAGGTCAATAATCTATTCTATCTCTAAAAGAGGTTAACAGTTCAGATGAAATAAAATAATTAAATTCTTTAAAAAAATTTAGCACCGAAACCAAACTCTGGTCTATGAGCTTCATTTGACTAGTCAAAACGAGCACTATAGGGAAGGCAATTTAATTTATAAACAATTTTGAGCTAAGCACGACCTGAGCAACATATCTACCAAACCTTGTTAAGATCCTTCAAGCAGTTTAAGATAAGAAGTCAAAAATGAAAAAAGTTAACGGACAACAGACATGTTGTATGACACTAAGCATGGCCATGATCTAAAAAAGTAAAAACTTCAGTCCTCCTTAAAGCTGGATTCAGTCCATCTGAATAATTATTTTTACTTAAAGATGGGTTCCCAGAAAAGTATTTATCGGGTGGTTATTTTCAATAAAAGTATGGTAATTTTGGTATATATGGAAAGTAGAGATATCCAATCTTACTAGAAAAATACTGGATTTCCTTAAAAACACTCATGGAGCGTATACAGGACAAAAATGTAAGGGTTCACCTAATCAACAGTCCGACGATTAGGAATTTCTGCACGCGTGATGTCAAAGGTCACACGCGAATTTTAGCGCTTTATGTACAAGTTGATAAACTTTATGAAGAGTTAGACGTACAACACTTTCTGAGATAAAAATGACGGAAAAAGACGGGGGTAGTGGATAATCCGAGAATTTAATTAGGATTCGATATTTGTAATAAATAGTAAGCGATTAAAGACAACATCGTCTTATATATGCAATGAATTCTCCTCTGACTTCCAAGATAGGTAAGTCACGTGACGTAAACATGACCTGGTTTGATCAAATTTTTATAACAGGGCATTCCTTAGCAATTACAATGTTTGAAAGGGATTTGAAGCAAAATTATGACAAATTAATTAGTTTGAATATGTTTTTAGTCCATATATACCATTAAATCACCAAGTTTGTACGCTGGAATGTATCTTTAATACTCACCTGATGCCATGTATAGCCAGCGTCAGAGGACATAAAGATATCAAGATCTCCATTCAAACTTTTACCTAAAACACCAGATGCCAGAATAAGACCAGGCGCAGACGGTTTAGATAATATAGGTGTGGTACTACTTCTAGAGTAGAGATGATGATACTGTTGTGTAACATGTAGAGAACAAGCTTCATACTGTAAATAAAACATCATTTATTACTCCAGATAAAATAAGCTAAAAGATGATTAAAATTATCTCAAATTATTAATAAACATCTCATTAACTGTAGCAAACGATTTAAATCAAAATTAAATTAGAATACTAATTCTTATGGGGACATTCCTTCACAATAGATAAAAGTCATAAATTTGTTGGCTAATTCACACAGGGTCTTCTCAAATGTCAAATATCAAAATGTGCCGAGAAAGATAGTCTGCAAAATGCATAAGAAATTTACAATCTTACAATTTTGTAATTCAATATGGTTCCTTATTCTGCACTATTAAACTCTTTCATATACAACTTTGCATGTGTTACATTCACAAACATTCATATAAGCTTCAACATGAAGAGTGTGATCAAAAGAAATGACCACATGTGATGAAGTGACAACAATATATGTCCACATGTGGACATATAAAAAACCAGCGGCTGCCAGGCAGGATACGCCCACATTTTCGAGAGATGGATAGAGAACAAGCTAAGAAGAAAGTGATTTTTCCTACAATCAAGGGCCATAATTCAGGAAATTACAATTCGATATGCGCAAATATCGAAAGGAACCAAGATCTTTGTGTTATAAACTTACATTTCAAGTTTCAACAAAATCGGATAAAAATTGTGACTTCTATAGGGTCCACAACTTTGATATACCCTATTTTTACGCTATTTGAGAACGAAGGGCGTCCATTTTATCTGTCAGTTTTGGGCCGATTTTAACGAAATTCGAACTCACTCGTCCTTAGGGTGTAATGGTGACATAATAATAATACGTTTTTTAAATCGGATAAAAATTATGACCTCTATAGGGTCCACAAGCTAAAAACGCGATTTTTCGTACAAACAGGGGCCATAATTCAGGAAGTTACGGTCTGATATGCGCAAATATCGAAAGGAACTGAGATCTTTGTGTTATAAACTTACATTTCAAGTTTCAACAAAATCGGATAAAAATTGTGACCTCTATAGGGTCCACAACCTTGATATACCATATTTTTACGCTATTTGAGAACGAACGGCGGCCATTTTGTCTGTCAATTTTGGGCCGATTTTCACGAAATTCGAACTCAGCCATCCTTAGGGTGTAACGGTGATATAATAATACGGTTTTTTAAATCGGATAAAAATTATGACCTTTATAGGGTCCACAAGCTAAAAACGTGATTTTTCGTACAATCAGGGGCCATAATTCAGAAAGTTACGGTCCGATATGCGCGAATATTGAAAGGAACCGAGATCTTTAGGTTATAAAATTATATTTCAAGTTTCAAATAAATCTGATAAAAATTGTGACCTCTATAGGGTCCACAACCTTGATATACCATATTTTTACGCTATTTGAGACGAACGGCGGCCATTTTGTCTGTCAATTTTGGGCCGATTTTCACCAAATTCGAACTCAGCCATCCTTAGGGTGTAACGGGGATATAATAATACGTTTTTTTAAATCGGATAAAAATTATGACCTCTATAGGGTCCACAAGCTAAAAACGCGATTTTTCGTACAATCAGGGGCCATAATTCAGAAAGTTACGGTCCGATATGCGCGAATATCGAAAGGAACCGAGATCTTTAGGTTATAAACTTACATTTCAAGTTTCAAATAAATCGGATAAAAATTGTGACCTCTATAGGGTCCACAAGCTAAAAACGTGATTTTTCGTACAATCAGGGGCCATAATCCATGAAGTTTCGATCCGATACATGCCAATATCGAAAGCAGCCGAGGTCTTTTGGGGATAAACCTATATTTCAAGTTTCGCCAAAATCGGATAAGAATTGTGATCTGTAGAGAGTCCACAAACAATTACGGACGTCCGGACGGACAGGGGCGACGGCATAATACGTCCACATGAAAATGTGGGCGTATAAAAACAGTTATGTACTAAAAGGGGTCCGATACATGCCAATATCGAAAGCAGCCGAGGTCTTTTGGGGATAAACCTATATTTCAAGTTTCGTCAAAATCGGATAAGAATTGTGACCTGTAGAGAGTCCACAAACAATTGTGGACGTCCGGACGGACAGGGGCGACGGCATAATACGTCCACATGAAAATGTGGGCGTATAAAAACAGTTATGCACTAAAAGGGGTCCTTTCAAAAATTAGCAACGATTCGAAATGCAGATAAGGAATTTATTAGTCAATAATACACATTTTAAAAAATAAATAACAATACAATATGAAGTGATGGATCGTGATGTTTATATCTTGAGTAGATGCAAAAAATAAAGAGGTGCATGTGCATCATATAATTAAATATACTGATAGAATATAATATGCATAAATTGGGATGACATTGAAGACAACATATTATTGTGCAATATAGATCAGCAATTTTATTTTCATAAATAGCAGGATACACGGCTTCGTCTGGGGCCCAAGTTCGATGGCCTAAAACATGGTCATGCTAGTTAATTAGATTATCACATAATATGTGGCGCTGGAGCGCGGCGACAGAGTGTGACTCACTCGGGGCCCAGACCCAATTCGCCTGGGACCCAAATTCGATGGCCTAAAACATTCTTAGGGTCATGCTGGTTAATATGATACCACACATGTGGAGGTAGATCGAGGCGACGAAGTGTGATGGACGAACATACACAGAGATATCTTTGGTTTTATTTATATAGAAAAGATGGGTGTATTTTCATTATAAAACTGGTCATTTTACCTAAAACTTTATTATATAGGAGTAACCATTATGAGCACAATTAATGGGTAAATTACTAAATGAATGAAATGGGTGTTTAATGATCTACTTTTCTGAAAAAATAAGGCTAATGCAGATGAGCGTACACCATACAGTATGCTAGGAAAGAAATTTTGCTCGAACAACAAATGACCATACGCTTGTCCTGCATCACGCTAGAAAATACCAGGAAACTTTCTCTGTCAATAGCGGAATCACACTGTGTCTCCAAGCTTAATTGAAAATGCAGTTGATTTGATTCTCATCAGTTCAATTAAGTACAAAAATACCCAATATACACAAACAATTAACAATAATTTAGTGTTTTCATGCGTAGGTAAAGATATTCAAAAAAAAAATGAACAAAAGAAAACACAAATTTTAACAAGCAGTTGCCACGCAAGATACGCCCACATTTGGCAAGAGAGGACAGAGAACAAGTTTCGTACATAATCCTGGATGTTACAGTCCGATATGTGTCAATATCAAAAGGAACCAAGATCTCTGGGATATAAACCTATATTTCAAATATGGTCAAAATTGGATAAAAATTATGACCTGTATATGTGTCCACAAACAAAATGTGAACTGATGGACAGAGCCGACGACAATATACATCCACATGAAAATAGTCAGTGAAGAGGACTGCACAAGAAAACAGACACAATTAAAAGGTACAAGAAAGTGACATTGACAGTACAATTAGATATTCATTTCTAGAATTGACAGAACAAACAACCTAAAGACATGATGCTTAAAAATAAAATATAACAATCTAACGGTCAAACCATGCCAAGTTACCTGCTTTTCACTAACAATTGCTTCCTAAATAAAGAATGTAAATATACATGTCTACTCTGAACACAGAATGCTGTAGAATCAAATCTTATTTATATATCTTAATAAAAAAAAAAACTGTAAAACGAAAGTACATGTCCAAACCACATTCATTCAGTGTAATTAATCTATCCAATCTGACAAAAACAAACCCACAGATCCTAATTGGTTTCATTTTTAGATACCTAGTACATGTACCTACCACAGAAAACCTCTTCCAAAGAAGACTGCTTTAACCACAAAACCATGTTGCAATGATGAAATAATTCCAAGGTTTTAGCAAAAAGGCAAATTTTTTCTTTGCACCTTAGATAGGTGAGATCAAAGGTTGTGACCTGGACATTGACCCTACATTCTGTAAAACAGCCGCAATACTCACAAACTTTCACTTGTAGTAATAGTATCAATCGAGTCTACAGTATTTTAATAAACACTTTATTTTGAATTCTGAAACACAACTCTATATTTTAGTGAGTAGGTTTGGGACATTAATCTTAGAAAGGGGAAAAAATTACCTTTGAACAGTTTGTGCTTCCTCCTTTACTGTTTCGTTCTGGGGCTAACAATGGTTCCCACTCCCCTCCTTTATCAAATGTTATAACTGATTGTTGTTCTGTTAAACTAGAATCCTTCACCTGTGAGGCAATATAAATCCCTCTCATTCCATTCACTTTATAAATATCTGCGAATGATTGGTTAGTGTATATTCTGTAAATACAAGATGATAATGATGCTAACAATGAATGGAGAGGGAAAAATGGGGTTTAACGTCCATCCGACACAAACCTGGTCATTCTGGGACTAACATCGTTCAATTTTATTGTAATAATTCATCTTGAACACTAATGAATATAAGTTTTTGCATATTTTGCAAATTATAATGCAATTTTGACACACAAGTCAACTGAATCTCTGTAATCCTTAAGGTAATTAGCTTATTCTGTAATATGTTTCATTTTGCTTTCTTAATATTTCATTAAAGGTTAAAGTCAGTCATAGATGTTATTTTCATATAACATGATAAAAAATATTGACTTACGAAAGCCATGTGTCGTTATTTGCACCTTTAGGATTAAAATAAACAATTCTTTCTAGTGAGAGTGAAAAGCGGAAGCCTTCCACTTCAGATATATAGAGATTGGTTAAATTACTGGAATGACTGACACACACCATTACTTGTCCTTCTGATGCATCAGCTATATAATAATCCTTTAAATACATAATAAAATCATATAATATATTTTTACTTTAAGTCTGAGATTAACTGATTAATCAATTCAATTAAGTGTGACATAAATATTTGCATTCAAACCAGGGTTATTATTTCAGGAAATTTTGTCATCAGGCAGTGAATGAATTGAGATTTTATCTGTCAATTTACATACCAAGGGTATTTCAAATCTTATTATTTCTATGTGAATAACGGCCATCTTATTAAAGATCATAACATTAAATTTATTTAAGAATATTGTGATAAAAAAAAACCTCATTATTATACCAAAATCCAAGTATATATAAGTTACTGAAAAGTTTAAAGAAAACATAGACATTGACAAAGATTTTATAATTTAGTTTCTAGAATCCAGCAATATCCAAAATAGATATCTTACTCTTCTACACAGTCTACATACCGGTACATGTAAAATAACTAAAGGAGCATTAGGTAAGATTAGATAAAGAGCTGACAGTTCTCACTATAATATACTCTTCAAAAAAAAGTAGGGGATATTGAAATACAAATACCTATGCAGGTTGTGATATGGTAAATAGTCATGGACACTTGACATGCTTTGAGAGTATGTTAACAGATGAAGAACTTATCGCCCCAACAGAACCACTAAGCTGCAAGTGCGACACGCAATAGCGCCATACACGTGGGAGGGGTTCATTGTCAAATTTGACACTTCAAGGAAGCCTGGAAGGGTTAATGAAAACTGCCGAGTGCTGGTTTATCCTATCCATGTTTGCTTTCCTATCGGTTCTTGCATAAGATTTACTGTTCAACGTATCTTTGTTTTATTGTATTACTTTTAATTTGCAATGAGACATCTTCAACATGATGAATGTCTATGTGCTATTGGCTTGCTTCAAATGGGTTCTACACCGCGAGCAGTAGCCAACATGCTTAATGTGTCACAGTCTGTTGGAACCGTTACCAACAAACACACAATGTTGATCATAATGATGACAGACTTCGCTCAGGTCTAGGGCCACTACACAAGCCCAGGATCGATACATTCGTACACAGGTCCTGTGAAATCGAGAACAAACGGCCAATCAGCTTTCTGTAAACTTGTACCAAATTACAGGAAATCGAGTTACCCAAACGATTAGAAATCAGCTACATGCAGCCCATTTGCATGCGCAACGACTGCGTGTTGTGTCTCCATTAACTCGCCAGCACATGGCAAACAGGCGTCAATGGTGTAGGCAGCGTAGAAATTGGGGTAATCGTCGATGGGCGCATGTAATGTTCTCATTTACTCTGGATTTCACCAATAGGTGTGCTCGCGTTTGAAAGTGTGTAAATAAAATGAGCGTCATGCGAACGTTAACGTCAGACAGCATGACAGATTCGGGCGTGGGTCTGTTATGGTGTGGGGAGGAATCACCATGACTGGCAGAACGGACTTACATATTGTTCAAGGAAGGGTCATTGGCATGTAGTACCGTGACCCCTTTCCTGGCACCGATAGTTCTGCCCTTTGCTCAACGTGCAGGTCGACGTTCATCTTTCAAGATGAAAATGCCCGTGCCCACCGTGCTTGTGTACATCTAGTGAATGACTACATCCAGTGTCACCATACTGTCCATATGCCTTGGCCAGCCATGAGTCCTGACCTTCCCCTATAGAGCATGTCTGGGACAACGTCAACTGACAACACTGCAAGAATTGCCCGTGGCACTGCACAAGGAGTGGGTCAGATTGCCCCAAATCGTGATTGGACGGTTGATTAGGAGCATGCCACGACAAATTGCTGATGTCTGAGGATTGGTAGAGCAATTATTCATTATTAAGACAAAAATCAAAAACGTCCATTTTCATTTTGACAGTGTATCTCTTTGCAAGTGAAATGGAGCCCGTCAGATAAGCCGCCCATATGAACTGTTTATGTTCATGTGTAGGCAATTGGCCTGTTATTAACATACACTGGTTACCGCTAATAAAAACAGCAGTGCATTTCCGCAGTTTTGTATCGTTTCTGAATATCCCCTACTATTTTTGAAGAGTATAGTTGAAAAATAACCAAATGAAAAGGGAATATGCTGGAAATTTCTGTCAAATTACTTAACTCTGAGTCTAGTTATCGGCGATACAATAACACAATAGCCTTGATTGTCATTCCTACTGTTGTTACGATAATAAACAAAGGCTTGATTATCATTTTTACTGTTATTACATCCATTGCAAAACATATCTAAATCTACTTAATATCATAGCCATCCGATAGCATCGAGAGTTGATTATGGTCTTGGTAAGTTAATTAATTTCTAATTAATAATTATTTATTTAACATTTAAGGCCTGTAAAAAGACCTGCAATAGGCAGATTTACCTCTTGCATAATGCCAGTTTAAACATCAAACTTACCGATCTCGTGAGGTTTGTTGGGAATACAGCACTGACAAATTCTTGTCTTTTATATGACACCCACAACTGTAACATATCTCCATGTCCACCCAATAAATGCTGTAAACAAACGTTAATTTAAAATTTGTTCAGTAGTTAATGTTCTCATGATCACCATGAGAGGATAATACTAGGTGGAAAAGGTGATTTTGAGATTATGATTATACATTTGATTTTATTAGTTTTTCAATTAGATCTCATCATTCTTCTCACAAAACTTTTTACAGATTCAAAATCTGGAGGCTCAAAGTTGCGATTTTTATGAAATACAACTTTAAAGCTAATTATGTTTCAATTTTCACATTTTTGTAACAATTACTCTGATTTCCTCAGCAACTGCAAAATACATAGGTTTTTTCAAAAATTTCATTTTGTCAAAGTGATTTTCGTCAATTTTTTCATCAAAAATGGTCTTGTACATGTTATATCTGAAATATTGAGCCTGGTTGTTATGCATTTTAAAATCAGTAGCTATCATGTAAGATTATCAGGGGAAAAAACGAGCAAAACTATTTATATGCCTTCTCTCAAGAGCAGGATATATGTCTATTTTTGAACAATTTTCCGCAAATTGCCTATTTTTGGGGCATTTTTGAGACATTAATAAAATAAGAAGTAAAATATTGGAGATACACATGTAAATTTATGTGAACATGTCAAAAAGTTTGTGAATTTTTAAAATTACATACTTCTAATCTGCCATATATTATCGATTTTTGTTGTCATAGCAACCAAAATGGAAAAAGAATGCAATTTTCGAACATTTTCAATGCTACACATGTATTTACCATAACCCAAAAGGTGATCTCCACATTTTAAAGTAAACAATTTAAAATATTTGAAACTCATGTAATATCAAATTATATGGATTGTGCAAGTATGAGAAAAATATGAGGAGTTTGAGATGTTACCAAAGCAACCAGTTATTTTGTTCTAAAAAGCATTATTTTCCAATATTTATGACATCAATATTGATAATTGTATTATCTTAAAATATCAGAAGCTATCAGACAAGATTTTGAAAAATAAATAAAATCAAAATATTTATATGTCTTCTTTCTCAAGAGCAGAAAAGGGGTTCACTTTCAAAAAAAAATTCCTCAGTCTCAGTAGCAAATTGCCCATTTTGGCCATTATTACGACATAATAAAATATGAAGGAATTGAGATATTGAAGTGAAATTTTGTTTTACAAGTAAATGTGATTGTGAATTTTTAAAATCTTGTATATTACTTAATATTTGGTTGTTATAGTAACCAAATTTAAAAACAAACCATCAAAAATGCAATGTTATACCATTTTCAATGATGTAACCAATCAAATGATCACCACATTTTAAGTATGATACCGGTAAGCATTTTAGCATATACTTATAACACATGTAATATAAAATATTATGAATTGTATAATTTTTGGGAAATATTAAGGACTTTGGGTAGTTGCCATAGCAACTACATAATTTTAAAAATAACATAACTGTTGTTTCACTGTCATTATTGTTCTCAGCATTCGTTGCTTACATGTAGGCCTACATGTTACAAGAAGAATTCTACTTTGACATATTATTTTCTACTTAGAAAACAACAAAACTGACCAATGGCAAAAAAAGTTATTTTTGTTGTGCATAAGAACTGTTTTGTTTTTACTTCACTTTTGAATTTTCATTATTCATTCAAATCCGTATGACTCTTCTTTCTTTTTATTTTGTACATTTTCATCAATGTGAATATCAAATCAAGGCCTAAATCCCTTACGTTTGTCGGTAATTTCAATTTGTTTAACTGGTCAATAAACATAGAGCCCCTATAATTTGGTGTTAAATATATTTTCAAAAAAACAAATAATTAAAATTATATTAATTAGTATGACAACTGTTATATAATGCTAAATTATTTAATAAAATGTTTTGCGACAATCGGGTTACATATCGACATGACTAACCTAATTCTATGTCAGTTCCATCATCTCAACCTCAACCGAAAAATCCAGAATCTGAGCCATTTTTTAAATTAGTTTTAGCTAGCGTTAATTCTTTTGTTGTTCCAACTTTATTTGGGCATAATTCCCTTTTAACTTTTAAGTGGATAGAAATCGTATGTATTGTTCATATCAAGTTGTCTTCCCTCACAGCTGCGTAATGTAATTATGGCTCACCGAGACCTGTGTGCCGTGTTGATATTTTCCGGTTTCAATTCCATTCATGTGCAAAGTAAATGCTTTAAATTAGGCATGAATAATTCCCTAAACAGCAAATTTTTTATTCCAGAAAATTGAAATACTAGTCAATGTTACGGAATTTTTTAATTGTTGAAAAACAGTTGGTGTTAAATGTAAAGATGTGTTGTAGCTGGGAGAAAATTTCCTTTAGATGTAGAAGCGCGGGAATATGAGTCACGTGATGTCAACACAGTCGACCCTGCGAAAGGCGTGAAAATAAAATGGAATCAACTATTGTTATATATTTTTAGGCAAGTCCTTTATTCAGTTGCATTTCGACGTAATTTACCGCGAATATGGGTCTTGGGAACTTGAAATACAGTTTTTCTTCACCGTGTCTTATGACGTCATAACACGAAAAACCACAAGATTTATTTGTCTACAAAATGTCATGTTGCATACCATTTTCAAGACATAAAAAGTAACATAAGTATAATAAAAACAATCAGGTTCTTCAGTTTTATAGATCAAAGAGTTTTAGCACAGCATAGTTTTAGGCACAGTATATTTGAGATATCACTTTTTTAGTGTTATTTTATACGGATATCGGCTTTCGTAAAACCACTAAATTCTTCTTCTTCATCGTCTTCCTCAAAAATATGTAGAATGTCTGCCACCTCAAGTCCAGGGACGTTTTCATCAGTATAATCAATGTCAATGTCATATTGAATATTGTCTTCGTCATTGTCTGCTTCCTCGACCACCCTTCTTCTTTTCGTTACTGGCTCCTTTCAACCATTTCGTCCCATAAAAGATCATCTTCAGTTCCATTTCAGGATTAACAGACTTCCACACCTCTACTATCCAAGTGCAAATAACATTTAATTCGGGTTTTCTTCTTGCGCCGCCTTTCATGTATGAGTGTTCGTCGCCTGCCATCCAGTCGGACCACAGCTGTCTCAGTTTTACTTTCATAGGTTTATTTATGGAGACATCTAAAGGTTGTAGCATACTGGTCATACCCCCAGGAATTATGACTAAATCGGTAGAGAACTTTCTCTTTAGGTCTTTCTTTACCGAATCAGATCGATGGCATCTAATACCAGAAGGCCCTTCTTTTTTCTCAAAGCTCTACTCTGGGTCTCTTCCCCCATACATTTTCAAGCCAGTCAGCTGTCAAATTGTAGTCCATCCAACCCTTTTCTTGTGTCCTAACTATAATTATAATGCGCTTTGGAAAGATCATACCTTTAGGAAGCGTCTTTCTTTTAAATATGACGTATATAGTGGTTACTTCCCGTCATCTGCTGTACAGGCCAACATCACTGTATATCTGTTTTTTTCGTTGCCAGTTGTTTTGATATTAACGGTCTTCTCTCCTGTTTTGTGGATGGTCATATTACCTGGTAAATCAAATGTCAGCGGCGTTTGGTCGGCAATCCCTATCTGACGGAATGTTCACTGGTATTTTATATACATTGGGGTGTTTTCTTTGAGCAAGACTGTCTTATAATTTTAACATATAACTGTTTTAAGTTACCGACAGTTTTCAATCAACATGGATTCAGTGATTGACCCATGGTTATAATTCACCGGTATAGTTAATTATCTACCAGTGAGTTGTCACCGTTTTCTTTATGAAGTTGTTTGTAGTTAACAAAATCATTGTTTCTTTTATTGGTATTAAAAACGCTATTGTATTATTTTACTGATAGATCTAAATGGCTACAATCTGGGTATTGTTTGATTGTAGTTGTTTGCATAACTTGGAGTAAACTGGAATTGTTGTTTTTCTTTTACCGGTAGTCAGAATTTAAGTCATGAGTAACTGATCATGAGAAATTGTTTCTACAGTTATTTATTTAATTTGTTTATCAGTCACCAAAACCTATTCATTTATCACAGCCAATTGCTCACGAATTTGACACGATGTAATAGACGGCCATGCTTGTTGTGGGCGGGACTTGAATGACAATTTCAATCAGCGCTCACGCTGTCGATCGCCATTTCTGCCAATTTTTGGTGATAAAATATTGAGTCTGGCGAAATCTTGGGCGATAACTTTTTCCTGTATGGCGATTCTTTTTGGACCGTGGCGATAAATTTTTCTTGCCACAAAGCTTTGATTTCCACGCCGTGCATACACACGGTCGTTACAGTCTATTGCACTTGGCTGAGTCAGTTATCAATCAATTGGGTACCAATAATAGAGATATCTTTTGTCTATTAATCAATCTTGGATTAGCGTTGATTACTATTTACAGTAAGAGTAAATAAACTAATTAAGGGACAAAAGATTTAATTATTTGTCTTTAATTAGGAATCGGTGACTTTTTTGACGGTTTATATATATTCAAAATGGCAGACACTGTGAATAATACTCGTTCGATTTGTTTGGGATTATTGGATTATGACGTCTGTTTTATCTTTTTCTTACTCCTGTTGCCTGTATCGTTAATAAATGAAGCCAGGTTTGTTGTTCCAGTTTATAAATGCGTATATATTCTTTGGGTTGTCGAAAGTCAGTTATCATCAAATCACATGCCATGGGTCATAGCGAAAAATTGAACAGCCTTCGTCAACGTCCGATAGAAGAATGTCAGATTTTATTTAGTATGTC